GCCTTAGCCTGGGTTGACATCCCTTGATTTTTGAAGCTGAATTCCTTGGATGCTCCATGACTGCCTAATCCTATGCTTAAGGATAAATTCATCACTTGAATCCTACAACTAGTGACTTGAATAACTTAAACTAATGTGGTGGTCAGACTGCCTCAATGCAGCCAGCTGATTTTCACCTGAGGCTCCTTAACATTTCTCTAGGAAATGCATGAATACATTAGTAGAAAATCGATGGAATAAGTTCAGTAACATAATCTGGAAGAGAAAAAGAGCCACAATGCCATTTTGCCTGATCTATACCTATAGCAATTTCCAAGTTATTACACATGCACACACACAYGTAAATATACACATACATTTACATATATGTGCCCAGATATTTATAAAACCAACCACAGCCTTTCATTTGTGTGTGCTGTGATTCATCAGCAGCAATTGTTTTTGGCAGGGCCATAATTTCAAATCTTCTGCTGAGGATGCCTGCCAAAATGTTGTTGGACAGAGATAGGATGAGGAAAGTTATTTATAAATGGAGATAATTAAGTCCTGTGCTTATTAGTGTTGAGAATGAGACAGAAAGACGTGTGTAGTAATGAGTCTTGTAATATGAGAAGAGGCTCTTTATGATTTTCTAACTGTTGATAGAAAAAATAAAGAACCCAACCCTTCTCAGGTGAAACAACATCATTATGTGCTGCTCCCAGCTACGAGATTCAGACTGTGAGTGTGTGTGCTCTGCTGTAGGACAGATCTCAGACCAACAGAAGCTTGGAATACTTCCACAGGATCCAGGTGCTGACTGCCATAACTGAGATTAGATTCTGTTTCCTCAGTCCTGGTGTTTGCATTTTGTGTTCAGGCAAAAACAAGAACAAGCACTGATCAGACATAGGAACTGCATTAACTCCTCTCATTTGGAARCARTGCTCACCACCACAGTCAGGAGAGRGCAYTGGGCTSTCTGGTGCTCTGCTCAGCAAGGCTATTTCTGTGTTCCAGCAGTCATGTGGATCTATGTTCACCCCTTTTTTCTTCAAGAGACACTTTCACTGGGACAAACTCATCTTTCCACTGGTTTTCTCCCTAGAGGCATAAATCCAGTGASCCAAGGTGAAATTCATCCCTGCAGGGTCTGAAGGACACCCAGGCACACACAGACAATGCAGAGCACCCAGGACAATGCTCAGCCAGTTACTACAGAAGAGCTGCTCACATGGTGAGTCAAGAGAATAGGAAACATTTCTTAGCTCCTGACTTTGTACCAAGCTTACTAGATAGTGTGACTAATGTGTAGGAGACACTTAAGCACACATCTGTGTTGAAACAGTTGAATATCCCATTAACTTCTGGTACTTCCAAGCTATTTGGACTGGTCTCACAATGCTTTGGATTTTAAAGGCTTGTGGCTCCTGAAGTCTCAAGTAAATGCTTGCTTTAGGCGTTTCTGAGTTTTTCATTAGCGGTGAGGGGAAGAAATAGTGTTCAGCATTGCAGAGAGAAGCTTGAAATACAAAAATGAAATCTCTCCAAAGGTCATTATTTCTCCTGCACGGTGTGGGGGTTTTTACACGCTAGTGCAATACTGACAAGGTCCACTGMCTTCAGAAAGATTATTCATACATTTAAAGGTAGGTACAGTGTAARTAAGTGCCTGGCTTGGCTGGGCTTTGGTCTTTCTTTAGTGGGGGTGGTGTTGGGAGAGCTGGTCTGGCTAAATTGGAGCCACAGCTGCTCTTTCTGCCCTGTCGCCAGCAGGGAATGTCACCTGTGTGGCTCAATATCCCCCAGGTTCTCCAGACCTGGAGTTAGCATCACTTAACCCAAAACTATTCCATCCTAGGGTTTTGCCTACACATCATCAATGCAGCCTGTATGTGAAAACACTGCATTTAAATGCTGTTGCCAAAAAAAGAATCAGCGGGGTTTAGACAGCCTGTGCCAAGCTCATCCCTAGGGTGATTTTTTGAAGTAAAGCAGAGAATATCTAAAACAGCTCCTGGCAGAGAGATAGGAAAGGATATTTGGGGGAGCTAGAATTTTGCCTTTGTATTTCTTGTAAAGTATTAAAAGGATCCTTAGAACTAGAAATCTCYTAAAGTGTGTAATTATGTACGTCAYGGTATTGCAGACGGTTCTGCAAGCAGAGCACTCTCTCTCCTGCTAAGGGAATTTTGCAGAGCAGGTTTTTTAGTGGTTTGCAAGGGCACCTAAAAGCTGTGCTGGGTTTACAGACTGCAGTGCTTAAATATTAAATGCTCTGTARTGACAGTTACTATCAAATGCAATTCAAGCTGACAATGTCAAGACCATAGCAACTATTTGTTTTTCTTTCTGAAACAGAAAAATAAAGGAAAATGGTGCAAAGGGAGATCAGYTGAACTTTGCAAAAGCAGCATATGCTGTTGCAAAAGCAAATTCTCACTTGCTAATCAGGATTAGGAGAAATGCCTGAGTTGTTTCATTGTTGGGAGCTATCAGCAGCACCTGTGCTTCATTAGCAAAATCAAAGTTTACTGTTATCTAAGACAAAAACGTTGAGGGGGGCAGGTGGTCCTTGAGGCAATAATATCAAATCCCCTTTTGTTTCCTGGAGAATGATTACAGTGAAATACTTTGCTTATGTTTCCCTTCTTTAGACCATCTGTTTCAMATTAAACCCTTCTGGCGTGATACATCATCATTTATTAGAGCATTACATTAGATAATGCAGTGTTAGTACGGCTGTTATAAACCCTTAGTTTCATGAGCGTGACTTCAGGGACAGAACTGACGTGTTTACTTAATGAAAGGGCCAGAGACTGTTAAAAAAAGCTAGTTTTCCAGTTCAGAAATGACTTTTTTTTATAGGCCTTTCACAATTACATTTTTGGTGTGTCTTGATTTGCAACTCTGAATGTGTTTGGTAGAGTGAAAACTTCTGGCTCTAGATGACTGAAAAGGAAGGTGCTGAGAAGGACTTGTCAGTAACAAACTGTGAGACACCTAATGCTGGAAACACAATCCCTGCACATGATGGTGTGACATCCATTGCCATAAGTCTCCAGTGCCCTGTAGAACTCAAGGCACAGTCCCTTTGATTCTACAGCCCRTGAAGATCTGGCAGGTAACACCCCCACATCTGAGGGAATTTTCCAAGTTTTCATTCTTGTCCTCTGTAGAAAGGGTTTTTTTTTTATGCTTTGCATCAGAGGCAAAGCTTCATATGCCAATAGACAGAAGACAGGCTTTGGTCCTAGAACTGTCCATCACTGCAGTTGCAACTATTTGGGGTCAGTTGAAGAAGTAAAAGACCTTGCAAGGAGACTTTTTTCCTAAATTCTCTGTCCCAGTGTACTAAAAAGACTCACTCACCCCTTACTAGAAAAGTAAGGAAAGTGATTCAGTCCCAGGAAAAAAGACCCTTATAGCTATATTTGAGATACTTCAGTTTACCAGTTAAGTGCACTGTTACTAAAAAAATGCCTTTCAATCTACTTCAGCTACAAAGATGGTGACTGTGAGTGCAAAATTAAGAAATGGATTTAATCATTCATGATATAAAAACTTTGTATGCTTTAGATAAGGCAAAGCCTGCTTTTAAATATGCTTATAGAGAGTGTGCCTGGGGAAGAGGACGAGCCTTTCATCTTAAATGAGCTGCTCATTTTTTTTCTGGTCAAAGAAAACTGAAGAATCTCCTAGTAGGTGATTCACAACACCTAGATTAAATTCAAGATCTGAATCATTGCTGAAATAGATATATGTAGAGTTCCTTTCATGCCAGAATCTCCCAAAATTTTGTGCTGTATTTAACCAACATAGTATTTTTGTAGTTCCACTTACCCTTCAGCAATGCAGGCAGATACAATCAGGAAGCCAGCGTCTGCTTCAAAATCTTTTTTTTTTTTTTTTTAACTGATCAAATCATACTAACCAAAGTTGCTTAAAAGCAGTATTCTCTCTTGCTCTGTTAAAAAGAATGTATTAAGTGAGCTTAAGTAGCATCATTTTATAACCCTCAAGTTTAAACTAGTGTATCATTTAAATGTTGCAGGTCTGAAGCAGGACAGGATGACATCAATATTTCCTTTAAGAAGGCCAGCAGTAGGTCCACAGTGTATGTCTGAATAAATGTGATTCAAATGACATCATGTTAACTTTTTTCCTCTCTCTGTTGCTTTTACGAGAATAAATTTACACTTTTTTTTTTTTTTTTTACATTGGGAAGGTGGTATATGGTAAGTAAATATTTTTGAGGTCATGGAAGAGGCTTTTGAAAACCACATTTTCCTTGTTTCAAATGTCCTTTTATTACTCTGTTTTGTCTAAGAAAACTGCCTGAGAGTTCATGAAGCTTTGCTTGCCAGTTGTAGGCTAGAGACCTGCCCTTGCTCTCCCTGTAGCTAATGGTAAAACATCCAAACACTGACTCATCCCTGTAGGGATCCAAGTCCCATCCAGGGATGAGCTGTTTGTATTCCTGGTGAAGTTAACCCCGAGGGCTGCCTGGGCCTGCTTTGGCCACAGGGTTTTTCTACCTGCTGGGGGAAACCATTTGTTGGGCCCCACCCGTGCTGAGCTTTCTGCCAACTTTGTGCTGGCTTTGTGATTTCTCTTTTCTTTGCTCCAGTCACAGCATAGTTCAGGTGCCCTAACCTTGGGCATCCTCCTTGAAGGTATCTCTGATCTAACCACAGAAAAGCGATAAGCCCCTGGGAATCACCCCTGAGCACTGGACCTATGGCATCAGTAGCACAAGCACTGACTGTTTTCGCTAACAGAATAATTCCATTAGTGGGCATCAGTAGGTTGTTATCCTCTTAGATGGATTTTCTGCTTACAGATGAAATACAACACAATAAAACTGGATTACAATAGCAGCAATATAAATACATATAAAAAGAACAAAGAGCAAGCAGCTGGGTAGTTATTGATGGAACATGGGACTGTATATTCAAGCTAATAATAACCTTCAACATTGTTTTACAGGTTTTTTTTTTTTTTTAACCTAATTGACTTGCAAGTTTTACAAAGTGGTAAACATAATCTAATTAAAAATGACATTTTTTTAACATACTGAGGAAAATCTCAAGTAATCTCAAAACACTTTTGCACATAAATTGTCTAAGTGCTTTGATGCCTAACCCAAGCAAAAATAAACTGCAGAATGGTGCAGAGGCACAGGAGATTCCTGATGGTGAAGCGGTAGTGCAGAAGAATGACAGCCAAAATGCAGCGCTGAGGCAATCAATACGATCCATTTTCATTTTCTAGCACAATGAGATTGCCCAGATGTTCAGCAATACTTTTTTTTGTGCTGAGGAAACAATTTTGACTATTGCTTAACAACAGTCTGAAACTTTTCTAGTGGTGAGCAGAGCTCAGCCCTGGTGCAAGTTGGTGACACTGTCGTGCACTTGGGAAACCTGCCAAGGTTTATTACTGGGATTTTGACTCCAAACAGCAGATTATTTGTGTAATCAATGCACCTTGAACAGCATTGAAATTTCAACCTGAACCATATGATTTCAGAAATCAGTTCAAGCAACTGAGAGATTTATCAGGAATTGTTTTATTTGTCTGATCCAGCTTCAGCCTGTCCCTGTGAGCGATGGTATCTGGTGCAGTTTTTTCCTTGTTTTGTGAGACGATGGAGGCCAAATGGGATTCAGGGAGGGGAGGCTGCAGCGGAAGAGGTCAGATACAAGTGGAACCATTTAATGGAGAATAAGTATTCCTAGGGATAAAAGAGAAAAGGCATTATGAAAGAAAATATTTAGAACTCATTTGTAGGACTCTGGGAGACGGAGACCTGGGGAAAAGGGACTGTGCAGTTTTAGGAGAACTTGGATGTGAGGTTTTGAAGCCAAACATTTTTCTGCTGGGATCTTGGTAAGAAAGAACATACACATAAACAGTATAAATACACATACCTGCCTATATAATAAGATAAACTGAAGAAAAATAATAAAATTAACACTTTAAAGCTATAGAAGAAGAAACAGAAAGTTTCTTCTTCTAAGTACCATAAAAACAGAGAATGAGCACGCAAGAAGGATAAAGGAGCGTCTGCAGCAGATTTTCATCAGGGTCTGATTCACTTATGTGACCCCTGGGAGCCACTGTTGGTCTGTGAAGTGCCCCAGGGCCAAAGGACCTGTGCTCTAGTTAGATGTGTGTCTCTGCACCATATGTGTGTGAGACAGAGACACGGAGTGGTGGACAGGGGAAAGACACTCCGCTGGGAAAGCTGGAAGGTGGCTCAACTAGCAGAAGGATCATTTTCTTTTGGGCCAGCACRGCTTCCTTGTAGCCTGTTAGCCCCAGGGCTCAAGGGAACACATCTCTTATGTGCTCAGGAGTCTCAATTGCTCTGGAGTCACTCTCACTGGTTGAAATCTGGCAGTTGGAAACTACCCAGCTGGCATGTTAGTGGARTAACAGGGATAGTAATATAGAATTTGTACTTTGGGGAATGTGGGTATGGAGTTGGAGCTTGAACAGGTGGACAGGAGTGGTAAGAATGCATAATTAAATATGCAAAGGATGGATAATGGAATCTGTAAAATCTGCTGGCATCCCAASGTCCACATTCATCAGCAGTTCTGTCACCATTTGCAAACTGCTGAATCTGACAGGTAGAAACCAGTGCTGAATTTGGGATGTCAGCTCAGGAAGAGGGGGCTCTGTTCTGGTTCTCTTTCTCCGAGGCTTCTATTGTGAGGTTAAGAAAGCACCATTGCCCATCCACAGGTAATTAACATTCCAATGTGAGATAATTAGCATTCCASTCTTTCTTCTGAAGGGAGTCTTCATGTGAAGAGGGGAGCAGCTCTTCCAGCATCCCACAAGCGGCGGGATGGGAATGCCCGGGCAGGCGCTTCCAGCTCGGGTCTGCTGAGTCCACCTGGCTGGTAACTTTTATTTCCCAAAATACAGGTTCCTGGTTTCCAGTGCCAGGGACCCAGTGCTGACTGTAAGAGATTGGTTCCTGTATCACAGAATCACAGAATCACAGAATCACAGAATTGTTGGTGTTGGAAGGCACTTCTGGAGATCATTCATCCCAACCCCCCAGCCCAGGTAGGGTCACCCAGAGCAGGTGGCACAGAAATGCATCCAGGTGGGTTTGGAATGTCTCCCTCCCTGGGCATCTGTTCAGTGTTCTGCCACCCTCACTGTAAAGAATTCTTYCTCGTGTTGAGGTGGAACTCCTTGTGTTTCAGTTTAAGGCCATTGCCCCTCGTCCCATCCCTGGGCACCGGTGAAAAGAGTCTTCTCAGAATAAACAGGCCCAGCTCTCACAGTCTCCCCTCGGAAGGGATKCTCCASACCCCTCATCATCTTCACGGCCTCTCTGGACCCTCTCTAGGGTCCTTGTTTTTGTTGTACTGAGGAGAAACTGGGCACACTGATAAAGCTTGGGGCTTATCACTAAACATGACGGTCCAGGCAGTGCTGGGTTGGTGCTTGGACTCAATGTACAGGTTTATTCCACCCTGAAGGACTGGATACCTCATCAGGCGATTAAACCAGGCGGGGCTGGCGGGGATCCCCTGCCCAGCCGCACGGTGACCCGGCTGGGACACAAACGGGGTTGGAGCACCCATGCAGGACCAGCCCTGAGCCCGGCCTGCGGCGGCTGGGGGAGAGGGGCCGGGCCGGGCCGGGCCCCTGAGGGYGTGTGAGGGGCCGGGTGTCCGCCCCGTGCTCCCCGTTCGCGGAGGAATCTTGCCCCGCGCCGCGCTCCGTCCGGGGCGGGGCGGGGCGGCRCGGGGCGGGCTCGCCGGTGAGGGGCACGCGGCCGCCCCGCCATGTCGGTCCGCCGCGCCTTGGCGCTCGCCGCCTGCGGGCTGGCGGGCGGCTCCGTCCTGCTCTCCGCCGTCGTCGTGGGCAAGCAGCCGGCCCGCGGCGGCACCGACAGCGAGCCGCGCCCGGGGGGCTCCGCCGTGCCCTCCGCCGCGCCGCCCGGCTTGCTGCTGCTGCCGCCCGCCGCCTCCTGCCCGCCGACCGCCGGCTGGATCGAGAGACCCGCGGGCAGCGGCAGCTACTGGGACAGCAACTGGGACAGGTGGGTGCGGCCGGGCTGCGGTGCTGGGGGAGGTCGCGGCTGTGGTGAGGGGTCGGGAGCGGCGGCGGGAGCTGCTCTGAAGCCCCTCGGGAGCGCGGGCTGGGCGGGCCGGGGTCCCTCTGGGGGCGGGAGGCTCTGGGTGCCCGGGGGGGGGGGGCAGCCCCCGGCCCATGGGGCACCCCCGAGGCGAGGCGGGACTCGTTTCCCGTGTGGTGACCTGCTCAGAGCGGAATCCAGCTGGAGTTCGTGGACACCCGTAGAACGCTGGAGCGCCCGAGTGCTCTGGAAGGATGAGCTGGGTTTTCTTCAGACAGCTCGGAGACTTGTCCTGTGAAGATCCCTTTATTTTGATGCTTTCAGCCAGCGAGACTGCAAAGCCTCGGGCTTGTGACAAATGTAAGCACTGGGTAGAAGACATCCCTTTTTAAATTTTTTTTATATTTTTTTACCACGTTTCGATTTTGCTGTGTGTCTGCACCAGTGTCATCAGCTCAGCAGCAGCTCCCGTGTGGGTGCCAAGCGCTCTCATGTGCTGGGCAGGCACTGGGCCTGCTGCTCGTGGTGGCCATGGAGCTGCGTGCTCTTAAATCATTGTAAAGGCATTGCCGCTTGGAGCTAACTCAGTGTTCTTCAGTGTTGAAACACATTCTTGCAAGGATCGACATTTTTTCTGAATCTGTAATTAGAACGTGCAGATATCTGYATTGAGCTTTGGCTCATTTAATTTCTGTCTGGTAGAATTATCTCCCTGGGGAGACTTGTGTCAGGCTCCAGTTTMATCATAGTAAATCCAAACCTAAGCACTAACAGGTTTTTATTGTATAATGCATCATTTTGATTTTTGAGAGGCTACAGAGGCTACAGCATCAAATGCTCATATAAATAGGGCTATGTACACCCCAGTGGTAAAAAAAAMCCCCTTAATTAAGTAAGGCTATAGCAGGTTACACAGTTATACTGAGGGAGGCACTAAAGCTGTTTAACTGCAGCTGCAGGCCTTCCTGGTTCTGCTAAATGGTTGATTTTTTTTCACGGATTCGAAAGTGCTTTCAGACTTATATTTTTTTAAACCAATCCAGGAAGTAGAGATTGTGCTGTAAGTTAGAGCTGTGGCCACTGCCTGAACAAATACAGCAGATACACTCTCCTGAACTGCTAGGAAGTATTATCACCACTCATCATAGTGTGCAAACAGTGGAAGTGTGAATTTATTACCCCAGATCAATTTGTTTTCTGCTGCTTGGTATCTTCCAGTTGGTGTGCTATGGCTTAGATTGGGCCTGCTTGAAATCTTAATTTTGGCTTTTGCATGTTGGCAGAAACACTTAATTGAGAAATTGTTCGATACACAGAATATCTGACCACTGCTCTTTGGGGGCAGGGATTGTTTAGAAAGTTAAGTCTTGAGCACATAACCAAATACTACAATATTTTTATCAACTGATGGCTTTTCAAGTTGGGAACAGAAGAAAAGAGATTGGTATTGGTCTGATAGGATATCACACTTGAGAGGTTGAATTGATCTGTGCCATTTGCACAGATATTGTGCAGCTCACTTCTTGGAGAAGATGGATATAGTTTCATTCATGTGGAATACTTCCTTTCAGACATCAGATGAGTTACTTTCTTACYGCTTTACAAATGTGCCTGAATTGATTTTAGAGATTTTTTTTTTTGTTTTCCTATTGTATCTTGCCAGCAATACAGTTTTCAGTAAATACAAAGAAGTATCCTATGAAATAGTAATAGGATGTCTTGTTACTGGACTATTGTTTCATTTTTAATGCCTTGCTGAACTTTAACAGCTCGAGGAGTGTGTTGAGCCTCATTGTTTAATGGAAATCATGTGTTCAGTAAAGCAAAATGGAGGCAGAAGGGCTTTGCACATCCAGTCTTGCCGTGAGAAACAGGTATAGGAAGCAGCAATTTTCTGTGAATAAACTACTTTGTTCCAACCTGAATAAAAATGATATTTTTGATTTTAAAAAATCTATCAACAAATAAGTTTAATTATAATTAAAGAAGTGAGGTCTGTTATGAATGAAATATGCTCTGAGGTGGAGTGATTTATATTAATGGGGTGGAGGATCAGTGCAGAGAGGGCCCCAGACGGATGTGGGCAAGGTTTGGGCAGGGTTGGTGATGGTGGTGCAGGGTTGCTGCTGGCAGTGGGAGATCGGTGGCACTGAATCAATGATAGCAGAGAGAGAGGGGGAGATCCCCGTGTCCTCAGGAGAACCAGGTCAGCTGTCTGGGTGATGTGCAGAGCGGGGTGCTCTGTGCACTGTGACAAGTGGAACAGAGATTAAAGTGGCATGAGGGGAGAGAGTGCTGAAAAAGATGAAAGGATGAATAAAACACTCCAGGCTGAAAAAGAAAAGGAAGTTTTACTGGAGAGACCTGACGTGACCTAGTTTAAAGCAGAAAATAATTCTCCATGTGCTCTGCAGAAGATTGGAGYCTTTCTAGGATGTTGTTGGGGGGGTGGTTTTTTAGTAGTTTGATGTGATTGATAAAGTGCAGATTTTGTAGGTATTATCACAGGGCCTTTTAGATATGGAGCATTAATGATCAGTCAAGTCCTTTTTCTCTTTTCCTGGGTATCTATCCTGGTTAGTTTTTCTTGTAAAAACCCTAAAAGATTGTCTGTTACTCATTGCTTTTATTTCCCAATAATTAATTCAAGTGGCTGGCACTAAGTGGCAGATTTGTGTATGTCAAGTTACACCTTTTAACCTATGCCATAAACTTTTTTTTTAATGTAGGCATTTAGTTACACCTCTSACACAAAGCTTTGAATCAGTTTCCGATACAAATGGCTAAATTGTCAGTTTTATTTCTTAACTATATCTGGAAATAAGGCAAGACTATATATAATGTGTAAAATTCCTCTGCCTTTTAGTCTCCCCTATCTAAAAATGACATTTTAAATGTATTTGTTTAGACGTGAACCACTGGCTCTTATCAACCTCAAAAAGAAAAATGAAGAAACCGGKGAAGAAGAACTTGCCTCTCGCTTAGATCATTGCAAAGCAAAAGCCACCAGGCACATCTTCCTGATCCGTCATTCCCAGTATAATTTGGATGGCCGTGCTGATAAAGACAGAACTCTRACCCCACTGGGTAGGTATCATTAGCAGCATCCTACTTGGCATTTTGAGGAAATTATTTTTCACATGATGAGTACACATCAGTAACTCAGCACTGTGCCACGTCTTGCTGCCAAACGTTAATCCACTGTCTGGATTTCTTTGTGGCAGAAAGATGTCAYGAATAAGTTTGTTTTCTTCAGTTTAGGTCCTCTAAATCCAAACATTAAGATGTGATTTAGAGTTCTAAACACGCTCAGTTGTAAAGAAACTTGTCAAAGGAAATTCCAAATTATCTTAAGCAAATAATCTTTAGCAAATTTTCATGCCATCTGATGTAATTACTAAGGGCTGAGGCTTTTAAACTTCACTCCATTGAGATGGATTTCTCTTATAAGATGGCTTTTGTTTCTCCTAATTTAATCTGCTGATCTGTTAAGCAGAAAACACYTCTGACTTTCAGCTGGAGTGTTTATAATTAAATACATTTCCCTTTTGCTGCTATTGCTGTTTGTGGGAGTACTGCTAATCAGTTACATGAAATGAGGATGACCTCTGTCTGGGTTAATCTTAACTCATTGATCCTGTGACTAGGTCTCAAACATACTTTTAATAGTGTACTTTAAAAGGAATGGACACTTCCTTGATTATATGTGTCAAYGCTGTTTTCAGAGGGGGAAGAATTATTATCGTGGGCTTTTTTCCACCCACATCTTAATTACTGGTGTGTAAACAGGAGTGAAATACTAATTTCAGGTGTCGAAACTGGTAACAGAACATAATCCTGTCTCATCCTGTGCCTTAGGGAAGTGGCTTAACCTGTCTTGTCATTTCACCTGCCTGCCTGAAAGGTGGGATAAACTGTCCTTAGGCTGCCCAGGTGCTGGGAACTGTGTCAAGCTTATGTAACCTTTATGAACAACAACACTGTCAGGCCTCAGGGGTCTGTTGCTTCCTTGGGATGGGGCTAGCAGGCATATTGAATACTTCAGTGAAAGTTGCTGAGTAAATTTTGAATTTTTTTTTCTTTTTGTAATTATAACAAACAATTTTTTTGATGCCAATCAAAATAGGACTTGAAATTGTCCAACCAGTAAGCTTGGCCTGAGTAAGTAGAGGCTCTGATAAAAATGTTCTCCAGTTGCTTTYTGCAAGGAAAAAGCCGTACATGGATGGAGACCTTTTATGTCTGCTGGACAACTCTTCTGATAGTTTGCGTGAGGTGCTTATGGGAGTGTCACCAATTTATGTAATGAATGTGCTTTTGAAGGTCGAGAGCAGGCTGAAYTGACTGGGCACAGGCTGGCAAGCTTGGGATTAAAATTTGATCAGATTATCCAYTCCTCCATGACTAGAGCAACTGAAACAACTGAAATTATAAGCAAACATCTCCCAGGTAAGAGACTTCCCTTAATTCTTCATTGTCTTCTCATCCTTGAAACTGCTTCCAGTAAAATTCAAAGCTTCTCCTTAAGGTTGAGATGTTACTTATCCATTTTCCAGCCCTGTTTGAATATGTCTGTATTTATAAAGAAACCTACAGCAGTAATTCTGCTTGTTTCCGTTTATCTTTAAAAGTACAAATACACTTTTTCAAAGTGTAACAGACAGGGAAAACTCAGCTTACTTTTCTGTTCACAATTGGAGTAAGTTGCCTTGCTGATGGCAAAAGAGTTAAGAGAAATTCACATCCCTGACAGAAGTGTATAGACTAAAATGGACTTTAGAATTGAGAGTAAGCCTTCTCAAAAAAAAGACTCTGAAACATGTATTGATTGTAGAGTTGTGGGCTCTTTGTAATGGCATGGGAACAACTCCTTTCTGAATGTGTATCTAATATTTCAGGAGTCAAAAAAATTAGTACTGATCTGCTGAGAGAGGGAGCACCTATAGAACCAGACCCTCCAGTCTCCCACTGGAAACCAGAAGCTGTGGTAACYTTTTCTTTGAAGTTTTTTATTGTTTATGATTTTTTCAGTATATTCTATATGGACAGTAGCAGTAACTTGCAGTGTCTGAGCTGATGTTTATCACAGCCCTTAGGTAACTGCATGTTTTCCTGCTCCCCAGTAAGTGTGCAGAACAGTTAAAATAACCTGCAGTCCTTGAGTATTAGCTCAGGTGTGCACCCCTGTAAGCAAGAGCTCTTGGGGAGCTGAGGCCCCCAGGGAATGCAGGCAGTGCTGCTCTGAGCTGTGTGTAACTGTKACCTCGGTGCCTTTAGCAGTATTACGAAGATGGAGCTCGAATTGAGGCTGCTTTTCGAAACTTCATTCATAGAGCTGATGCCAAGCAGGAGGAGGACAGCTAYGAGATCTTTGTGTGCCACGCCAACGTCATCCGCTACATCGTGTGCAGGTACGGGCTGGGTGCTGTGCTCACCTGAAACGGGGTTGGCTTAAGGCACCTCTGAGGTGGGAGATGTGTTGGTTTGGCTTCTTTGAAGTGGCTGGAGATCAGTTYCTGCATTGTGAGCAGCTGCTTCTGCAACTTCATTGAGGTACATTTAAAAATTAGAACATTTTCATTCTAATTSTAAAGCAAAAATGGCTAGATCAGTGAAAATTAACCTTTTTTGTACATCGGAACTTATATTTGAATTACCATATGCTTCTGTTTCCATACTGAGGGCAGTACCTGTGTGGACTGTTGGAAAAGATGACAAATAGAGTATTTGACTGGATCCATCTCTTTGAGGTGAAATGAGTTTGATCTCACATAATTAAAGATTGATAGAGTTTTGGGAATTCTTTACCAATGGAAATCTTTGAGTTGTGTTCAAGTTGCATTAGAGTGCTTTTGCAGTAACATCCAGTATTGCATTAAGGGGAGAGTAGATCTTTCTGGTAACATCAGGGTTGTTCATAAAGCAGAACACAGTTCTGGATCTTTGCCTGTCTCTGTATYCAGTCAGCTGAGTCTGTTTTATTCCTCTTCTCAACAAAACACTGTAAGATAATTTGTCACGAGSAGGACAGATGTGATTAAACTTTAATCTGATCAATATCTACAACAATTTCAGTTAGCTTTATTTAGCTGAGCTAGTTAAATGCTGGCCTGTCTGTTCTGTGGGCTGCTTTAGAGCTTTTCAAAATTGCTGTRCTTAAAATTATTGATCAGGTAAATAGAATATACTTTCCTGTGCTAAAAAATATGTTGCTCTTGCCAAGGCTTTTTTTGAAATACATACTTTTTCTCTTTGCCGCTTGCTTTCCTTTTCATTTTAATGTGTCTTCTGTGCCTTCYATTCCAGGCAATCTGATAGCACAATTGAACAGAATCCATGTAACATTCCCTTAAAATCTAACTTGGCTGTAGCTGATATTTAATTTCTTGGGCTTTCTACAAGACTGTTGTAAGAGCCAAAACCAAGTTATTCCTCTGTATCGGAGGCAAAAGCTGTTTGAGGGAACATGGCATTTTTTCCAGCTGTTTAATCCAATTGTTTAATCCATTGATGGAGTTCCTGAGGCTGTTGAATTAGGAATTTTGGAATGGCTGCAAACCAGCTGTGATGCTGTGTTTCTGTGGAAGGCACAAGGTACTTTTTCTTGCCCTTCCTGGGGAATGATGGAKCCGATGGAAAGTAATTCTTGTGAACTTCTTCCCTAGGCACATGCAGGCCAGTGGAGCGAATCCTGTGTCACTGCCTGTGCTGTGGTGGCATGGTTGAAATGGAATGTGGCAGTCACTGCTTGCCACATCCACCTTGTCTGTGTGGAGGTGGCCCTGGGATGCTGAGCCAGCTTTGCCCTGTCCCACCTGCACAGGGGCTGTGGTGCTGCAGCCCCTCGGGGACAGCTGGAGCCTGGGCCATGCCCTGGGGGCTGCTCAGAGCACTCCCAGCAGCCTCACTGCAKTAGAGCTGCTGCCTTCTGTCCACTTGAACTAATCCTGTCAGCAGTAATCACACCCATCTGCTGGACTCTGCTTATCCAAGTGCACTCTTGGCCCTGGTCCAGTTACCAATGCTGTGGTTTTATATCAATTCCACAAGAAAAGTCTTTTTTATGAGTCTGACTGGGGGGCATTGGTGTACAAGCTGCACAATGCCCACCAATTTTGATTTTTCCCCTTCTCTCTGCCCGTTATCTGGGACAGAAGGTGATGCTGTGAGGGCATGTTAATCTAACCATTTCTAAATGAATAATACATGTGTTTTCTTCACCAGAGCACTGCAGTTCCCCCCAGAAGGCTGGCTGCGACTGTCTCTCAACAATGGCAGCATCACTCACTTGGTGATACGTCCCAATGGCAGAGTGGCCCTTCGAACACTGGGTGACACAGGTTTCATGCCTCCAGACAAAATCACACGCACCTGAATGAGCAAAATGGATGGATGGCTGTCCAGGAGCTGCCTCTAGTCTCTTTGCACTAGCACATTCTGCTACAGTACTAGATTTTTATTACTTTGGGGTGTGATGCTGTCCTAAAATGTCCTTTAGCCCCTTTCCTTCTTCATATTCATATCTGCCTTTCAGTCCAGAAAAGAAGAAACCTTTGTGAGCCTGAAGCTGTCCAGTCCTTACATATTCCCCAAAACTCAGAGCTGAGCTGTGGAAGACAGAGATTGAATTTCTGCTCAGCAGTTGCAGGAGCACTGACTTTCCCCCCATCCCGCTGTGAATTTCCCTAACCAAAGCTTGCTCCTGTGGGTATTTTTCTTGKGCAGGAAGSCGATTGGTGTGGGAACAGCCTTGTRTCACACTGCAGCTAAAAGGAAAGGTGAGCCAGCTTGTTCCAGCTCCTGCAGAAGTGACAAACAGGGTATTCTGCTGTTCAAAGGACAAAGGGATAAAGCTTCAGTTTTTGTAAGCTGTTGAGTGTGTATGTTGATGTTGTGTCATTGTTCCCCTCTGCCCCCAAAAAGCCCATGTGAACTGTGCCTGGAGGTTACAAGCATAAAGGAGAGAGGGTAAAAAACCATTTGCCTCAGAGCTGTGGTGCTAGAACTACTTGCTGCTTATATTAAGTGTTCCAGCATCCTCATGATGTCCTTTAAGATGTTCTTAAGMATGTTCTTCAGTCTTTAACTGAACCATGGTCTGGAGAAGGCTGTAGGGRTGAGTCTGTAGCAGTAAGATGGAAGGAAAGGAAAGCAGTAATCTTCTCAAAGTGCATTCAATTACTGACTCATATTTTTGAGTACTCTTTCCCACTGATTTCTATTTGTTGATGCCTTTCAGAGTAAAGCAATACCACCACTGCATTCAGGGTAGTGGTGCTGCAGGTCAGAGGTTCTGCAGCACTGGAGCAAACTGCTGTTGCCAGAATGGTGAGCAAGTGGCCATGAGCTGGTTTGTCTAGGCTGACTGTATAGGATAAACATCAGGCAGAATGCTCCAAGGGCCTCCTTCCTACAGCCCTGACACTGCTGGGCTGGKGGCAGGGGAGGGCTCGGAATCATTCTGAAGGTTGCTGGGCACCTCACCCAGTGTAGAATCTTGSCTCAGTTAACAGGTGGTGGCCTGGAAAATTTTCCCATATGCATTTTCTGCCTTGAGGAAGGAGCACAGACTGTAGGACAGCAAACATAATTAACTTGTTTGACAGGTTCTCTGATCATTAAGGATGTTGRTGAAATGCTGAATTTACTCCTGTTAGAGCTGGATGAAGCATAATCAGGGCATACAATTTATGGAGGATTTAAGGGCTTGATACTGAACTGCTACATTGGGATAATTTCAAGGAACTGGGACTGGTRGGGAACAAACTGATCATTTTAGGGGGCAAGAGGAAACCATCATGACGCATCTCTCATTGATGCAATGAGAATAATTYATCAATTTTTGTCTATTAACTTTTTAAAAGTTTTGAATAAAATACGTGGTCTGTCTTTCTTTCCTGTCTCTTCAGCTGAATGGCAGCATGGGCAGCTGTAGCAAATGTGGCTGGAGCTCTGCAGGAGCTGCTGTACAGGAGCTGTCATGTCCTGCTCTGCTCAGGGCAGCAGCTCTTACCAACCCCCTGAACTGTAAACTTGAGATGGGAGCCAGAGCAGTGAATTGCCCTCAGCCACAGAGCTGCCCAAGAGGGAACTGCTGTAGCCAAAGCACAGCCATTTGCAGGGCTGTGTCACCACCATGAGGAACAGGAGCACCAGCACCTGTACACTGAAAATTCTGTGCATTTTTATTATTGTGTGTGCACATGTCCCCGTCACACATTCCCTTCTCCATCCCGTGTCAGTGAACAAGCTCCCGGTGGGCAACAAGAGGACACAACAGCTCTTTGCCCAGGTACAGAAATTAACAACAGTTTTGGTGACAGTTAAAGTGCGAGTGGAAGTGTGAAATCTAAAATAATTTCTTTTTTTACCGTAGTTTGAGTTCCTGGCTCTTCCAGCACTGTAGCGCTTCAGTGGTGTAGTCCATTGTTACTGTCCACATACACAAAAGCTGCAGGTATTGTGTGAGCAAGSCCTGGAGTTGTCCTGTCATGGAATAACCCAGCTCCTCCCCACATTCCATACACTTAAACACAGGGTGCTCCTTTCAGCTATTCATTTGATTTTTAATAGAAAGAAAGATACTTCTGTATTTTAAACATGACACTTTGCTAATTAAAAAACAACAAAACAACAACTGATTGTTTGCACCTTTAAAAGTGAACTTTTGGCCAAGAAAACACAATTCAAGCACTACCACTCTGATTTTAAGTGTCTCCACAGGCTCAGTGTTGAAGGGCTTTCTTCACAAAATCACAAATGATCAAATCACTACATAAATTGCTATTTTTGTCATAGCTGAAGTAACACATTGTTAGAAAAATGACCTTTTAAGTGCAGTACAACTGGACTAACGCACATTATATAACACAGTTAAAAAAATATTTTCCTGACTGAACCAAAACATTACAAAGGCAAGGGTGTGGCAGGTGGGTGGGTGTGGGGGGTGTCTGGCTACATGTACAAACCAGTAACATACATTTAAATATTAAAAAAAAATAAAGCAAAGCATAATAAAAGTATAAAGGACAAAGAACTAGAGTGTTAGTATCAGTCCCTGGCTCAGTAACAAATCCTAGGAAAGGGGCAACGCTGCTGTATGACAGCTCTGAAGGACCAGGGGGGAGAACAGCAGCTGCACCCACAGCAACATAGCCCAGCAGTTTGGCTTCAACATGGTATTAGGCAGTTACAGCAGCTGATTACTTTCTCCAGAATGATAAAGATGTAATTTACATTAAACTATTTCAAAAACCAACCAACCAGCCGGAAAAAAAGGCCAACCCCAAACCTTTTGGAGTAAAAGTRTAGGTTTTGAGATCACAGAGCCTGCTGCATAAAAAATTAAAACAATAAAGCTCCTTATGAAAAAGTCAGTTAATATACTTGGTAACAGCAGGTTATGTTTGTGATTYTGTTTTTTTTAAAGGTGTTTCCTAAAGTATGACATTCTCCAAGCCCCTGATGCTTGTCTGAAAAATGACTGAATGAGAGGTGTTTAAGTAACTCTTTCTAACGTCCACCTCCATCGAACTAGGCTTAATTTAAACAACAGCGAAGTAAGTTTTTTTTTCTTTTTTTTTAAGAATAATTTCTAAAAGAGGAGTCTCTCCCCCAGTGGAGAGCTATCGCACCAAATAATCCCAACTTAGAGACATTAAAAGACATCCTGTTCAGAAAGCCCAGAGAAAAATTGTATTTTATCTGCCCCATARTAAGTGGATGCCACTTTTTTTTTWAAACTTCTAAAAGAACAAAAATTTAATTTAAAAAATATATTACAAAAGGCACTACTGAGCTTGCRAAAGCATTAAGTGCAGTGTTTTAGGTTTGTACCAATTACGAACCTATGAGGGTGCACAGTTTGTGTAGGAACAGTCACTGCCGTGTGAGCAGCCGGGAATGGCCCTGGGAGTGCTGGGATGTGTGGGGAGGCTGGGCCAGCCCCTCCTGCCTCCCACGATAGGTCTTCTATTTTTTTAAACATCRAGAGCTCTCTTTCTGGAAGCCTTTCATGCAACATTACAACCATTCGGCTTGATAAGGAAAACTGGAGTTTTGAAAAGCTTTCTTACCTCAGCATCTCACTGTCAAAACAAGTCATTCTTGCAGAAGGCTGAAGAATAAAATTACTGACTGCTGTAACAAAAACTCATTACCATGTCAACACTAGAGACACAGTAAAAGCTCAGATTTCATAAAATATTTCTAGTCCTTAATCTTCTCTGTTTACAGTTGGGAAATAGCCACCTCCTGGGCCACTGGCTATCATGCTAATATATTACAGACTAGACCATTAAGGTAAGGGATCKTGCTGGTAAATTTGCTGAGATTATTGCTGATGTGCTTTTGTGTAATAACTTTTAAAATCTGCAAGTGTTAACAGCTTCTCTGGGGAAAAAAAACCCAGCTACTTTTTAAGTTTTTTTTTCTTAAATGTTCACACTACCACTTAAAGGAATCCCAGTAGTTTCTCTAGTGCCCCATTTCTAAAGCACTCAGTAGATCAGGGTAACAGCCTCAGAACAAGCAGACTCGAGGGTCTCTGTGCAATTCTGTGCACACACACACGGACAGACAGGTCAGGTGAGGGTGGGTGTGGATATCAACTGCCCAGCCCTGCCGGCTCTGAAAACCCTCTGCTTATGCACTGCGTTTCACATCCCTGCTCCACACTGCAAAGCTGTCCTTGCATTCCCAGCTTTTCATTCTGAGCATTCCCCTTGCAAGCAGGAGAACGTTTCACTTCTGCCATCGACTTCCTCTCTGCCATTCTGTTTGCTGATGATGCATTTCCTCGACTATCCAAGGTAAAGAAAGGCAGTTGAGGGCTGTGTGTTCATTACAATAAGGGTAAGTAGTGACAGCAAATACCACCATTGCTAAGTGACAGTTCAGCTCACCGTGCTACTGGCAACAAGGGTTAAATCAGAGCTGCTGGACAACTGCACTGTCATGAACTTCTTGCATATCACCAGTAACAATCTACCTCGTATGTGGCATTAAGACATATATTCAATTTTTTAAACATACAGTTGTCCTCAACTGAGGAAAAATAAATAGCCAAGTACAAACCTCATGTCACTTTAGTAACATTGTAGTTTTTCCTCCACTCTTACATTGAAAACCGACCTGAAGTCCCGGGCTGATGCTGTTTTAGTGGGCAGGAGGCTCTGTGAAGTAGCGCAGGACAAAGGCTGGGCTGYAGCGCCCAGGGCTCCCCGGCTCTGCAGGGAACGAGGCGCTGCTGCCGTGTTTTCCTGGACTTCCTGGTATGGGACTGCTCCTTCCTGAATGAGGATACACTGAAGTGTTTGGAAGGCCAGCAGCCATGGTTTGGGACCGGAATCTTGCCTTCAGTGCTGGRCTTGGCCAACTGAAAGAAACCAGAAGTCATTGTGCGCTTTGAAAAGAAAACTGCAATAATGAGAGCAGCACTTTGACTCAGAATCACTTTAGATCTCAGAACTAAAGCACCAGTTGAGAAAAATCCTATCTGGTAAAAGACAGATCTGGAAGAAGAGAAGGAACAGGAAGACTAGGAAATATTCTATACAGACATGTTCCCTCAATAAGACATCACTTCTTAAAAAATGGCCATGAAGACACACCCCATCCTCACATGAACAATTCCTTTGGTCAGGRGTAATAAAGGATAAAAATAAAAAGATGCCTAAAGATATTAAATTCACCTTTAACATCCCTCTGCACAACCCAAGGACCACAAGGCAACACAACATTCCTGCAGTACATCCAAAATAGGGATGAATTACAAACCAACAGCACAACTTTCACTGAGTCAAATGAAGGATCCAAGTACCAAATCAGCAAAGTGAGACATTGCCAAGAGKAAAATACTCATGTCTGATTTGCCTGCAGAGACATGCTCAAGTTACTTGGAAAGGCAGTGGAATGCAAGGAACGTGACTGCAGCACCAGGAAACTCTTTATCAACATACCAGCCCAAAAGGCTTGGTGATCAACTTCAGAAAACAATTAATACTGCTCAATATCCACAACATGGTTTTGTGGGCAACAAGGCCTGAAATTCTGCTTTTCAAGCTGAGCTGCTAAAGAATTGGTTCAACTCCCATATTGAGTTTGCAGCAATACCTCTGCCTGTCAGATGAGGAGTAGGACTGCACCGCGTGTTTCCATCTGTAAATCATCGGGTATTTCTGGGGATCAATCTCTGCTCCTCCTATTGCTGCTAAGACATCACCATCCAGCTTGGAGGGCTGCTCCCTAGAATGGAAACAGAACTAGATGAAAAGAGAACCATGTATTTGTTCAAGCAATAAAACACATCAATTCCAAATCACTTAGTTTTTATATAACCAAAGAGATTGCCTGTTCAAGTAAGAGTTAAAAAAGACAATTCTTACCCAAGCAGGAATAACTTTAAATTGTCATTTGTGGGTGAAGTCTTCAAAAGAAACTTCTGGGAAGAAAGCTCTTGACGTTGTTGTGTCTCCTTAGTCTGAACTGCAGATTCCCTGGACATTCTTTCCTTTTCTAATGACATTTTGTGGTCTGTCCTTAACTTGGTCTCTCCAGGTTTTCCTGTAACATTCGGCTCAGAAGAACTGGTCAGTGATGCTGCATAGCAGGCGTTGTCCAGAATTCCCTCATTCTCAGTTCCAGTGATTTTATGAGATACTCCTGCAATATCTTGCTCTTGGAATGACAGGTTTTCAAATTCTGACATTAAATTGGAAACGGGTGACATGAGGCATTCTGCCCCATCACGCAGCTGCTTCCTGTCACTGATAATCCTCTCACTGGACACGGGACTGCAAAACCCATTTTTGCTGGAAGCAGCTGCCTTGTCGTAGTGCCGAGGGGGAGCTGAGGTCTCAATGATGTCTCCTGCACACTCCATGGACAGGATGTCACACTCAGCATCTCCAATGGCATCAATGCTGGGCTCCTTGGACACAAGGGAGGGGCTGATATTTCGTGCTGCATTTTGTCTGTTTTTAATTTCTTCTAAGCTCATGTCATCATCATCCTCATCCAAAAATGCTCCAACAGAAATGGAATTGCAGGACTTTCTACTTTTGCCTGTAAACAAGAGCAACACATAAAAAGACTTTAAACAGAATGTCAAGTAAATAAACTAGGAACAAAAAAGCAATCTTTATCCTTATTTCCCTTCCTGAAGACCTCTCTGATTTATGTAACAGCATGAATTAACCCGACTAAAGCTACAAATGCAAACTGCACACATGGCAAGCAGTGGTCTAAGGTCTAAAAGCTTTCCTGGGTTTTGCTTCTTTTGTCTTTCACCTCACAGTTGTAAAAAATTATTTTATTTTTAGAAAGTTATTTATTCCATATCTGTGGATTACAACATTCTGTACTTCAAGATGAATTCCCAAATGATCTGAGTGAAAACATACATGAAGATAGAGGTTTTCTTATAGGGATTTCATTTGGGGGTTACACTCAAATAAAGGAAATCACATGTAAAACAAAGATTGCACTTCTCCTACACTCACAGTGTTGTTGTCAATTTTTTTGATACTGTAATCAGACGTTTTGGAAAGCAGATGAGTAACAGCAAACACAATAGGTGAATACTGCTTCCCCTGGGCACCAAGCTTTTTCTCTCCCTCTTCTCCCCAGGTAGAGCCCATTGTTTGCAGCATTTGCCCTTTTCTTACCAGAGGGATGTGGAGTTTTATATCTATTGCAGGTTTCATTTTCCCCTGTTTCTGGCTGAGCCTTTTCGCTCATTTCACGATGATTCAGGTACTCTTCTAATTTTCGCAGCCCCTCCTGGGAAGACAGATCAACAAAACAGCCCAGAAATTCCCAGTATTCAACCCATGGGAACCCCAGCTCATGAGCTAACTCCCTGCAATAAATAAAATAAAACGAATCATTTGTGAAGACATAAATATTAGTTTGACAATAACTTTTCTGRTCACATTTTAGCAGCTATGAACAGGAGCACAAACGTGCAACCAGGCAACACAATCCCACAACAATCAACAGTCTGCAAAAGCACAGACACAGCAATCAAACMATCTCATTTGTTCTAGAGCATTTTTCACGTTTTATCTACTATTTTTACAGTTAGAAGCACAAACATTGCTATCTTTAAGCTGATTGTATCTAGACATCAGCTAGAGATGAATCCCCACTGACACTGCATTCAACAGCTTTTTCTATGTGGGAATGGAGAGGTAGGAGGAAGTGAGGGATTATTTTAAAGAATGAAATGCAGTCAGCTTTTAACAAAGTACTTTTTCCACATGTTGCTGATAGAAGGTATTTTAACTGTGAGGACACACCACACACACAGAGCTTTCATAAAGCAGCACATTTGCATTAGCATCTTTTCATTCTGCTCCCTTTTAACAATCCCTCACTCTCACAGAACAGTCTATGCATAATGTTAGATCTGACAAATGAGGCATGTAAATGTCTCTGAAATGCATTCCATACATACCACCAATAATAAAGCTAAAATATCTTTATTGCCAAGGCTAAGAAAGCCAGGCCTCATATTTTAGCTGTCTTGTTTACAGAAAAATAAAGTAAAAATCCAACTGCAAAATACTTCATTAAATGTTTYTGCAGTAGCTTTTCTCCCAAGATATTGTTCATTAGGTAATAATGGTACTCCATGCACAGTCTTTTGCCTTTAATTGCTTTATTATTAATTTTTTATTGTCAATCCTTTAGATACCTTCCAACTCTTTCAACACCTCTCTCCAGATCAGATTTCCTGACATTGTGAAAGAAGCCAGCTCTCTCTCGAGGTGGAGTCTTCCAAAGCCTGCGAAATTCTTCAGCCTTTAAAAAACAGAAATAWATTCAAAACCTATCCCCCACAGTATGAACTAACTCAGTGCTGGCTCCATGTCTACCTGCAGGTCTAGAAGTTGTTTCACTGTTTGCTGCCCACAGCTGCTGCTCAACTGCAGCTCTGAGGAGCTCACACTGGATCTAAAGTTACTCCTTTCACTACTGGTGATTATTTTAATCTCTTAACTGCTCATGAAAGAAAAGGGCCACAATGTACAACCAACTGAAAATCAACTGCACAGATACCACATCTGCCTGGGTACAATTTGTGTGCAGCAGGAAACAGAAGTGTCTTGTGATTTTGCCATGTCATTTTATTTAATTACAAATGCTTCCTGGGCAYTGTTTTCTAGGATGCAAAGTGTATTTTTATATGCACAGACTTGCTACAATTATTAGAATAAATTCTTGCTGTCTATTTTGAAYTTGGAATGTCTCAAGGGAATTTTTTTTGCAAAATCCCACACTTCCTGACTTTATATGACAAAGATCAAGACGATGACTAAGAATTACATTCAGCCATTAAAAATACCAGTCAGCAATCAAAATTATGAACTCTTTACATCCTAGATAATATTTGTCAGAGTATAAATGATATCTAAATTTCTGTCAGTAAAACAGCAAATTTATCAAGAGCATTTAGAAGAAAAAGCATTAAGCATTTTGGTAAAACTCAGTCTTGAAGAATTCGAGCATTAGATGACACCAAGTCCTCCACTGTATTTATTCACTGTTTCTAAAGCTGCTGTACTTGCAGCAATTCATATTAAACAAATGAGTCAAATACACACTTGTAAGTTTAGAATATATKTAAGAGGTATCTAAGTATTCCTTCTGGAAATAAGAGATTTTGCTTTTCTACTATATAATCAATACATTTCCAAACCATCTCAACACCTACTACTTGGTTGTCACTTTTTCCATCTAGAGAAATATATTAATGTTAATTCAACAAGCAGAGGTTAAATTGTTTCTAAAGTCCAGTGGCAATTTCTAGAAATGAGATAAAGACATAGTTAATATTTTTTAAATTGATTTATAGCTGCATTGAAAGGCTTGGCTTCWGGTAAGAACAAATTCTGAGAGGATGAAGAAGGCAATTTTTGACTGAACTTCCATTCTTATTTACACCACATTTCTGTTTTCAGCAATAAAAAATATTTACAGGTTTCTGTGCTTCTCCATGGAGGAAGCTCCATCTCCTCAGCAGAGAGAGAGCAACAATCTATACTAGGAGCAAGCTACACCACAAGGAATCCTGTGACGATCTTCTTAATTCATAAAAAGGAGAATACTAGAGTCACATGAAATTGTCTCCTTACCTTAGAGGGGCTCATGGGGCCTGCAAAAGCTCTGATGGACAGCACTGGGTCTTTGGGGCTGCCGGGGTATTTAGACCAAGCTCTTTGGGGGCCCTCGTCCGTCTGATCAGGTGACCACGGCGCCCCAATGACTGGAGCTGAGGAATTGTCTTCTGCTCTCAGGAGTGGGACATAATAGCGACCTAAAATAAAGAACACAAAGCTTTTTCACGATGTTTATGTTACACCAGCCTGCTGCTTCTTCCTGGAGTATCACTGCACTTGTACATGGAACCATCTGACTTTATCTCACTGGTCAATCTACTTGTAACTCAAACTCACTGCTTCAGTGTTTGTTACCTGATTACAGATCACATTTTAGTGCAAGCTCCCTTTTCCTTCAAACACAAAAACACCTCAATGATACACAGAGCACTTCCTTCGTGGTCTTTAGGCATTTGCAAAGTAGATTTGTTAAACACACACACGATGGAACAGAGACAATTCTGTGTCAAGGAAATTAGAGGACTCTCCAGCATGACAGATACATCTCTTGCCTTGTAAAGGGTTTTTGTTTCTTTTAGTTTAAACCCTCTGTTCCAGGCTTGCTGAAACAGGGCCTTGCCTGTGTTACACAGCCATGAGGGCAACCTCGTGATCCACACATTAAGAGTTCTGACTGTAATTTAAAAGACAAAAGTTTTCTGTCCCARCTCAGTTTTAGAGTTTCCCTCTGGTTTTCACAGCACTGCATAGCAGTGTCATTTATGAACTGAAATGCTACAGAAAGTAAACAGAAGACAGCAAAGAGCCCAAAATACATGTCTGATACAGTACAAAACTCTGCATACAGACCTTTCAAGTACTCCCTCAGTTTTTCTTTCAGTTCTGCAGACTTGTTCTTGCTTCTTTCACAAACTACCTGTTAATACAATTCGAGCATYAGTACAGCACAAGAACCTCATTTTCAAATCAACTGCAGTGAGTGTTCTTCCAGAACAATCACATTGTTGGCCCCTACCTATATCACCCAGTATTTTCAATTCAGAGCAGACCAAAGCACTGAAATACATCCAACTCCATAAATTCTGAAACTTTTCCAGACACAATCAACATGAAATATTTTTAATGTTATACAAAATTTACTATTTAATCATTACACTAGTACCTTACTACAAGCCTTCTAYCTATGGTAGTCAGCAATGTCTGAATATGAAAAATACGGATCAGGGTAACATTTTTGGGTTTGCTGTGGATACGGAGAGACTTACATCTGCTGGAGTTTGATCATATTTGTTTCTTGGATTTTTTACAATGGCTGGGTGTGAGGTAAGCACGTTAACAACATCCAAATTCCCAAACTTGCAGGCAAAATGCAATGGAGTATCAAACCACTGCAGTGAAAAAAAGGGAAAAATTCACATGCACTTAAAAAGATGATAAAGTCAATACCACACATTTAATTCTGAGACTGAGGAAAGTAAATACATGCCACAASTAATTATCCCAGCTCTTAACAATTTTTTTCCCACCATAGTGCAGAATAATGATTACCAAAACCCACAGAACTTATGAACAGCTCCCACACTGTTCTCTTTCCATCTCCTTTACACACCCTTAACCTTCCAGCTATAATAATAATAACAACAATAATTAAAAAAACAGGTAACCCCCCAAATCTCACCCCTTTATCTGGTGTGTTCAGGTAAAGGTCAACAATATATTGGATGCGTTTCTTCAACATGACATCGTTATCATCAGGGTACATCAGCCGCATGAATTCCGGATTTTCCAGAGTGTCCAGCAATAACTGGCAGATAGCAGGCTGATTCTCCTTGGCAGCAACATGCATGACATTGTACCTACACCCTTCCTGGAAAAAAAACCACCAACATTAGAATGACCTCCAATGTAAACAGCTCTCTTACACCCATACATGTAACTGATTTGACTGTGAAAATACAAAGGTTCACACACTGAGTGTTATACTAATATTTTTGTAAAGGCTTATCTTTACACCCACATTATCTTTATAATTAATAAAATTATTCTTATACTCGGCTATAGTCTTTATTTAGGGAAAGAATGTGGCAAAGAAAGTATGTTAAGATATCACACAATAAAGGGAGGTAGGAAGTTCAGTTTATAAAAAGAGCAGGAAAATGGGGACAGATACAAAAAATTCAGCTGTGCTTTGCTGTATAACATAAAAAATTTCAACAACTTCATAAAGCTGGTCTGATACAGGCTGAAGTAAGATTGTCATTGTCTGTTAAATGGCACCTTATACATGGTTTTGAAATTTAAGAGGGGTGCTTAGGTAAGCAATGCTGTAGGAACACCTAATTACAGCCTTGGCCCTACCCTGGTCCTTAAAATTAGTCTGTTTTAAAGTAGATTGCAATTATCTGGAGAAGACCAAAGAATAAGAGGACAAGACTATTCTTGCACTACTGAATAAAACAGTTCTTTTCCTGAAGAACTGCACAGTCAGTTGCTTTAGCTCTGCTGGAGTAAAGGGAACTCTCAGGGTGACTTACAGAGAACTGCCCCAGCAGTACTCAATAAACACTGAGAAACCCTGCACTGGGTGGAACAAGGTGTCTGGGGTGTCTTGAAGGAGGAGCAGGAAACATTATTCCTTCCACTTCTGCTTTCAGGCCCCAAAAGCTACATTACTAAACCAGAACTCAGATTTTCCTGTTTTGTTGCTGTTTTTTACCTGTACAATTGTTGGGTTGTCTCCTGACCCGATCAGATAACGAGGGTTACTCCAAATAAGGTCTGAAAACGTGGCTGTGTCTCCTTTCTCCACAACGTTCCGAAGCTTAGCTGTGAGATCTTGAGTCCGTGGACTTTTGTAGCTGTTGGCTCTTTCCTTACTTGCAGTCTCRCCCTCAGGGGAGCACAAGCCATCTATGGAACACAAACCACTCGTTTCTAGATACATTCTTTCCAGTAATCATCATTTGYATACCCAGGTCATGAAAACCCTGCGTTTAATCCAAATCACGTATTAATTTCGCACCTTTAATATACAGAAGTAAGGAAACTGAACTCAATAACAAGACATTTAAATACACTGGTAGTTAGTAATAGGGAGGGAGAGGAAAATGATTAATCATCTTGTAAAACTGTTTCAGACTTCAAAAGGGACTGGTAAACTTTGTCATTACCAGTCTGCTCCCATTCAAACTTAAAAGCAAAATTCAGCAAGAAACAACAACTTTTTGAATATTAAAATTGCTTCTGCAGTTCTGTGACTCCTGAATCCCTTTAATCTGTCCCTGGGGACACTRTGAAATATGATCAGTGCTTACCATTTTATTTCTGAACTTACAAATTTACTTAACAATTAAGTACAGTTTTAATATATTGTGCAATTTTATCAGCATCTTACTAAACCTGAAAATCCTGAAGTCTATGAGTAAAAGCAAATCCTAACAAATATGACCATGGACTACTAAGCAAGGTACCTATGCAGACCATTACCTACATTTTAGCTTTAGAAGAGCAGTAATGTTTTTTTACATTTTAAACATTTCTATACTTAAAAGATCCTTTAAACTTCAGTTTATTCAATGCTTCACTCTTTGAATTTTTTTCTGTTATCAGCATATTGGAAAGGCAGTTGTTGCTTCTTCTCTCACAAAAAAATACACACTTCTATTGCATCTACTGTACAGAGATGAAGTCCCCCACTTACCTCTGTTAAAAGATCCCATTTTCAGTGGAGACAAACATAAAGAGGACTTGCCTGGAGACGGGAAATAATCACAGATTCCTTTAGCAAATTTCTCAGCATCCTCTCTGTTTGTAAAAGCTTTAAAACGGGAACCCTTAATCATCTTAACAGCTTGGAGAGCTTCCTTCCTGTCTTCATAAACATGTATTCTCTCTGCAATGAAGAACCATCAAAGTTAGGTTATTTCAATAACCTCAGATATCAATTGTAAACAGATTACAAAAATTACAAAGAAACACTTCAAGCAATGCTCACTATACTAATGCAGTGTTGTTCATATCTACATGAAAGAGGTCTAGTCACACATGGCTGTAAAGTGCCTATCATTGGAAATAAGGGAAGAGAATACTTACCATTCCTTGCCAGTATGTCGTCATAAACTGGGCAAACACCATAGAAGAGTGGAGGATCTCTGGATGGTGTTTGGGCAGGGATTTGTGAATCAGCACCACAGACTGAAGCTGAACAGTTCATGTGTGTCACAGCATCTTCTTCTGGAGGGTTCACACCCAYGCAGTACCCAAAGTCTGTCTCCTCAGAAGCGCTTCCGTGGCCGTTGAGACTCACGGGGCCATTCCCAGCAGCCTCCTCTGACAGAGCAGACCCTTCCTCCTCCAATGCTCCTTGCTGCTCCAACAGTGCCTGAGCCAACTTTTTTTCAAAAATAAACCTCGTAGTTGCAGTAATGGGCCCACATTTCAGTCCTGCTCTCACAATCTCTTCTCTAAGCTCATCATGGCTGAGCTTCTTCAACCGGGATAATATTGTATCCATTGTTATTTCACCTACAGGAAAGGCAAACGAGAAGAGGAGAGAAACTGTAAAAACCACAACTTTTCTTCTGCTCTTTAAATAGTGTATTGAAGCCAAAGAAAAATGTGCCTCTTAACAATTTCTTATGATTCTGAAAAGATTATTGCAGTGCAGAGAAGACAAAATACTTCTCAATTCAATGCGTTAAGCACTACTATCACATTTTTAAGCTACCAGAGCTATATCAAGTTTATTTCTTCCTCTCTTAACTGTTTAAAAAGAGTATTTACAGCTTGCATTTTATTCTTGTTCATCCTTTTCCAATTTCTTCTGGAGTGAAAATTCAATCCAGAGCATTTATTCATCARAATCTATGACAGGCTGAGAAATACTTGATTCCTGACAAGAACGGCACAGTCTGTATGTACAATGCAATACAAGGACACAGGCACCAGTCAGCCCAAGAAAAGGGGCTGCACCTACAGCTAAAGGCACAGAACTATTTCGAGYATTTCCTCAGGACTTTCTGGCTGGCAGAAGTCTAAGGAATAAGCACAACACAGCAACCAGAATAGKCTTTCTGTGGCCGTGATGCAAGGCTGGAACTATGTACACAACATGGTGGTTCCCAGGCCTGTTTTGAGAGCAAACAGCCAGAAGACAAAAACAACTGATCTTTTCAGATCTCCCTCTYCAACAGCAAGCAGGAGCTGGAAGAATTTCTCCATTTCCAAAGGAAAATCCTTCTCTCTGCTACAATACAAGCTCCCCAGCTCACATCCCTCCATGTAATCCACACTGACAGCCCCCATGCTGAGAAGATACTAAAACTAATCTGATGCAAATTCCTTGCTGTGAAAAATGCAACTGAAAAGTACAGGATTTGGGCAGCTCAAGAACATAAGAAGGTTGCAAGTTATTTCATCAGGTACTGCAACATGTACCTCCACAGAGGCTGTGACTCTCCTCTGCACCTTGCTCAGGAAGGGAAGCTGCAGACAGAATGATTCAGCTGTGCTATTCCCTCAGCTTGCCTTCACTCCTSCCTTTCCCTGCCCCTTCCTCCACAGCTGAGCCATTGCACAGCTTGTACTGCTTTGGACAGGGACGTACAGCAGTTTTAGTACTTAATTTTCAATTTCAGGTTTCATCCTCAGTTAATGGAACTTAAGGCTACCTTTCAGATATTAAAAAACCAAAATGCGCGCAATAAGTTTTTGTGACCTTCTGCAACACTGAATATAGCAAGTAAAATTTTCACTGGAATCTGACTCAGAACAGACACATTCCTAGTATTAGGAAATACTATGAAAATGTACATAATGCCAAACTTAAATAGTAGTCTTTCAATTACAGGTTGACAGTCACGTGAGTCTGAGGATTGTTTCCTTGGAGGGACATTTCCTTTGAGAGCTGCTTCTCTTTTGTGAATGTCTTATTTTGAAAGTCTGTGGTTACAGAAAATACCTCAGTCCCCAAACATTTCACAAGTATTAACTAGAACCTCGCTGAAACAATGGGAAATGAGAGTATTTCCAAGTAAAAAACGTCACCAAACAGCAGCAGAGCCACAGCTGCTGCCACTGAGCCACTTCCCCAAAGTATTGTAGTTCCCTTGTGATTCCTGAGCCTCCAGGCAACCTCATTGTTTCGATTATCTGACTTGCCCACAAGATTACAAAAAGAGATGTGAAAGATCATCTCACTTGTTTTCAATTCTTACTTCTCTATTTTTTTTAATTAATTTAGTGTCATTATGTTTTAATCAAGGGATGTGTCCCTAAGGTCAATCAGAATATCCAAACTTGCTAYTCTAAGGATTTTCCTTTTGACACTGCATAACTGAAAAATCACAAGAAAGATGAAAATGCAGGGGTGAGAAACTTAATTACAAAACCAGCTCAATAAAAACATTTTAGAGGGTCAACAAAAGTCCTTAAAGAATTAACCAGGAAATGCTCCTATTTTTAGGGTTCAGAACTAGCACAATCATTCTGCAGAAGAGCAGACCTGTACATATATATAATTCATGTGCTGAGAGTAGACAGGAACACACAAAAATCCTTCTTGGCCTGTGCTTAAGCAAAAAAAATGCCATGAAGAAGTGATTTCTCTGCTTTCTTGTTTTGACAGAAGCTGCCACCTAAAACTTAGTGCTCAAAATTTTTTAATCTATTTTAAAAAAGAAGTTATTTGAGTGCTTATTACARCTCTGGCACAACTAGATCAAAATGAGATGGCAAAGCAGACCAACAGTGAACAATCAGGTTTAAGATCTGCTATCAGAATGATGAGTTTTCTACAATGAATTTGGTGTGGGAACWGGGAAAACACTGGTGGAATGACAACACAGAACTATCACAGAATTTGTTTGTGTTTTGACAGTAAGATTTCTGCTAATTTAGATAAACATTATTGGTTTTTAATTTCATCACCTATTTTATCTGTCCAAAACAGAAAGTGTTACTTGCAAACCTGAGAAAAAGCAACTGCCTGTTCTGAGGCAATTCTTCACATTTTAAATGCAGGTGCAAAAGAGGATTATTTGAACCTTAAAAAGCATTATATAACGACAAATGATCCAGAGCACAGCCAGCGCTGATACTGTTACCTCTTTAGTTCAGCATGTAAGGCCTTGCAAGTTACCTACGCAAATATGAGTAACTGCTTTAGCAACAACCACGTTTGAGRGTTCTTCCAAATCAATCAACACCTGGAAGAATGGGCAAGAATTGTATTTTCCCTTGTCTAACTGGATCAGTACGAAACAGCAGAATCTGCTTCCAAAAAAAATCTAGAGTAAACCCATGACAGAATGAACGACTGACTTTTAAGGATCAGAGTATTCTATTACTCCATTACTCTCATTAAATCCTTCAATAAACGAGTAACGCCAGAAAACTGGGGGTTTTGTTTTGTTTTCTCTTTCGAGGCAGGAATGGAGAGTCACATCCTGTATTCGGCTGATAGGATTTGCACACGTTAGAGCAACCGTGGCTTCGCACTGGGGTGATTTGCCTGTACCGCCTGTGGCCAGATGAGCCACCAGTTATGAGCTACGTGGCTGAAAGGGAACTGCAAAACAAACTTGAAATAAGCCACAGGGAAATAAGGGGAGCAAAAAGGGACAASTTCTCAGGAAGGAGAAACACAGCTACGTCTAGACCTGGACCGGGCAGGGATGCGAGGAGCAGGGACGCTCCTCCTGGAGCGGGCCCGGGGTGGGGCGGGCGGAGCCGACCCGAGGAGCGGGGCCCGGCGGTGACAAAGCGGGAAGGGGAACGGGGCGGCGGGGCCGGGCCCGGCGGGGCCCGCGGGCGGTCCCGGAGAAGCCCCGGGGCCGCGAGGCAGGCGGGAAGGGACGCGCGGCCTCCCCGGGCGGTGCCCGGTGCCCGCTGCCGGCCCTCCCGCGGGGCGAGGGGCAGCGCCACCCCCCGGCCTCCCCCGAGTCTCTCACCTGGGCGGCTCCCGCTGCAGCGCCGGCTCCCCGCGGCCAGCGGCGCCGGGCCGGAGCGGGGAGCCGGGCAGGCCGTAGGGGTCGCGGAGGAGATGGCGGCCGCTGTTGCCCTGCGGCCGCCCGGCCTCCTGTCCCGCAGCCGCAGCAGCCAGCCCACGGCGCCGATGACGGCGCAGGCGGCCAGGAGCTCCCAGCACGGCCACCGGCCCCAGCCGGCTCCCCATAGCGAGTCCCAGACCCCGGCGGCCCCGACCCACCACTCCATGCCCGGCCCGCGGCCCGCCCGCCGCACGCCGGCTGCGCCCGCGCCCTCAGGGACGGTACCTCCGCGGCCTCGCGGCTTCCGCCTCCTCCGCCCCGCGCCCGCCCCGCGCCCGCCCCCACAGACGCGGCGGCGGCTCCGCCCGGCGCTAACGGGGCTCCGCCGCCAGCACGGGCCTCACCGCTACCGCGGCTGTGCTCGGCGGTGGAAGGAGCGGGGCAAGCCGAGGGGAGCGCCGCGCCGCTGCTCCCCGGAAGATGCGGTGGAGCTCCGCGCATCGGCTGCGGGACGGGCGGGCGCTGAGGGCGCGGCCYAAGGCCGGGACGGGCGGGCAGGGTTTGAACTGCACCCGCCCGTCCTCCTGCGGCCASCRCRWYKTTTGCCAYCAGCCCTGRGGACCGGGARCACACGGGCACTTGGAGAGGCCTCKTCWGAAAGCTTCAGGCCGGKTAATAACCYCAAARTGCTGCATCAGTCTCGGATAAGCCATGAGAGATGGAAAACTATAAAGAAGGAGGCCTCTGGTGCATGAGAAAGAAACAATTCCCTGCACAATGTGAACCAGCAGCAAGTACAACGTTCCTGCCTTATGGGTACCGGTACCTGTACTCTGAGCGGTGCAGTCGCTCGCTGGTTTAAGTTGCTGGCCTTTAAGAACAAACTAGTATCCCTTTAACTCACACCGTTTAGCAAGCAAAGTACAGTAATTTCTCTCATCGTTGCAACTGCCTAAACTAGAACAAAGATGACATTACTGCATTGTTCCATTTTGTACACTCAAACTCCAAAGGCTGACAAATTCAGGCCAAAGATTCWTGTTTCTTCCCTGACATGTTCAGCTGAGAAAAATAAAATATAATGGAAATTGGAACACAATGAGGTTTAGATGTGTGAAAAATCAATACACAATAATGTAGTCTTTCAAAATAAGATTTTTTTTTTCTTTAAATGTAGCTATACAGCATATTCTGAATTCAAATATAAGAATTACTGCCCAAAACCAAAGAGGAGACAGTGACTCTTTTAAAATAGAAACAACATRGGGCCCTTTAGCAAAAATAGTTTATTGCACAAAACTTTTAAAGGAATCCCTATGCACATAATTTTTATAATCAACATGCTTTGTGTGATCATAAACATTAATTGTACATAGTGTAACTCCTCCAGCCCCTGGGTTATCCATTCTTCAAGAACATGGAATTATTAACTTCTATCTTTACAAATACAGCCTAAGCAGACATTACTGAATGTCATACATGAAACAGAATCATTTCATTTACAATATCAAGAACATCTTTCCCTTCCCCAGAAATCTGTGCATCTGTATTGGAAATGAGGCTGCCCAAGACTCAAGTGTTGCTGGTTAGTAGGAGGCAGAGTGATCGGGTAACAGCTGATGAGCATTAGTAACTCCTCTGGGTAGCAATTGCTTTCACAGGAAAATACTTAAAGGCTCTGATTGCAGCAAGTCACATGCAACTATTCCAGCTTTACCAGCAAAGTTAATAAAATGTACATCACAAGCTTCTGCATCACCAGGARGGAATTTGTCATCTTTAAGATAAATTTATATGGATAATACTACCAATACCCAGCGCACCTTTGATGTTGTCATAGCTAACACTAAAATAGCCATGCCACTGCAGTTCTCTCCTCTAAGGAGGAATACAAAATCCATGAAAATATGAACTAGAATTTTCATCCTGGATATTACTTTACACATGTGAAAATCTTATAGATTTCTGCTAGGATATTGCCTAAATGAACAGTATGGGACCAGATCCTCCATTGCATTGAGTGAACAGGGGGCTCAGCTGATCCCAATACAGTGCACAAACATTTCCAAGAAATCTGGAAGACAATAGAATGGAGCATTATGCAATATTCAGCAATGCCAGACACTCAGTAACTTGTAGGGTTTGCTGGTCTTTGTTGTGACTTTTTTTTAAATGCACAGTTATTCAAGAGCCCTCARTAACTCAACAGCGTCAGAAAAAATAACGCTGCAGCATTTACCAGCTTTCAGCACTTGGGAACGTTCTCACATTGCAGTGACATTTCTCCTTCATTAACCAGACTTGGTTTAGTAGGTAGCAACCACTGAAGAAACACAGAAAATACATTCTATAGCAGTGCTCGAGAAAGGAAAATAAATTTCTAAGAGATTATTCTTCAGATTCTCCTGATTATTTGGCAGTGCTGTGACAGGCAGAGGGGAGGCAGTTTTCATSCCTTCAACTAATTTATTTTATTGCCTAGACAGCAGAGTCCTGAAGCGTTGTAGACTGAGCATGCTCAGCCTCAGGGTGAGGCTTTTTAATAAAGCAGCAACTATTTCTCTGGGTAATTAAAAACATAGCTGATGAGCTTCAAAGAAAAGGCCTTGCTTTTATCACACACTGCATGCTCCTTCTAGAAGACTTCCCAGTGACTTCTGTAACTTGACTTAGTACCTCACCAGATTTAGACCCTCAAGTCTCACTGCCTGTCCTTCATTTAAGTAAATGACAAGGTGTTTCTGTTTATAGAACAAACACATGGTGAATATAATAGGACAATACCCAGTGTCCAGGTACTTCCAGAAGCAGGTGGGTCAATACAGGAATCTAATCCACAACAGTTCCCTCTTCTTGGAAAGGGAAAACGCACATCTAAGGCTACGTGATTGYACAAACTCAGATGTCTTCAGGAGCTAATGAGACACTGCAGCAGGAAGCAGAATGGATGSAAAAAGGAGAGCTGACATTCAGAACAACTAGGAAGGTTTCTAAAAATTCTGGCGTCTTTGATACCAGATAAAACCTTTATCCATATAACCATTGCCAACCTAACAGATTAAAACATAGTGGATTCTGAACTGTAGGCAAYGTATTTAATAAACTGAACAGCAACATTAACGCTGCACAAGTAGTATTTTAAATCCTGGACATTTGGTAGTTTTTTGTACTGAATATATTATTCATTACAGTTTYACTTTTTTAACAATACTGTGGTTTGGTTATTTTCTTCTTTGAGCTTAATATACAGGCAACTTCAAGAACATGACAACAGCAAGATAATCAGTACCATTTACTCTACAAAGCAGACTGCAGCAGTGTGCAGACATGTCTAAGCTAGTCTGTAAAGCCTTTGAACTGTTTGGTAAATTCGTATGATGGGCACCTAATGCCACACCAATGCATTTCTTCCTTCACCAATTTCAAAACCTTGACTGTCAGTATCACTTGACTTTGATAYCAATAAAATGTAAGTTAAAATCCAGTAGCTGTGAGGCATGAAATCATTCAGTATAAATACTTTAAGTGCAGAGTGTTCAACTGGACTAAAGATTGACATTGTAGTTATGAGAAATTAGACTTTGGATAAATATAGGTGGATTTGGGGTTTTTGTTTATTTATTTTTCACCTCACTGCTAAACAAAATGCAATATCCTTCCCCCTCCTCTGCAAAACCAAACCCAAAACCAGCAATGGCTTCTTGGGAAAAATACATGAACTGGAAGTTTTTTTAACAGCCTCTGAATCCACTTGTACTTTAACTASATTTTTTTCCTGTAAACACCGAACTGTAGTGGATATAATTGACTTGGTTTATGCTTTAAGGACAAAAACATTCTAGTACATGAGTTGCCACTAAATCTTCCAGCCAGTGTTACATGTATTTTGATTTGTGCTTTAGCACTCAGCAGATTAGGCAAGACAGGCCCCCCACACTGAATTTYTGAGTGAGGAGAGGGCTGGCTTATCACTGTACTCTGAGCCACATGGAGCAACAGGACCAAAGATGAAGGAAACTAAAGTGAGCTGCTTTAAAAATAACTTAGTCAAGGTGTTCTGCAGAGGGGCTGCCACAGTAGCAACACTTCCATTCATGGTGGACATCTTGTAATAGAGGGTGCAAAAGTAGAGTAAGTGTGTGGGAGAAGATAAAGCTATTAAAAATAATAATTTTATAGGCATTATAATTATGTCTTTAAAAATAATTAAATTTCTAAAAGCTCTGGCTTTAGGGGCTAATTTCCCTMAGCCATTTGTACAGTATGTCGAAGAAGAGCAAACTTAAATGTAACATTAAAACAATGACAGTAACAAAACCCCTCATTGTAGCCTTAACTTACAGTATATAAGCATATTAAACCAGATATTCAAAGTCAGAAAATTATGATTTTTTTTCTTATATATATATATATATATATGTATTTTACACACATACTTTTGTAAGGGTGTCTACTTCAAAACTTGAAATAAAAAGGTGCAAAGTATTTGTGCAGTGAAGCAAAGCTCACTACTGGCCTGTGACTGTAAGAGAAAAACATCAGCAAACATTCCAGGCAAACCTGCCAAAGATACCAACTGCTCTGCACTGCTTGTCTTTACAGGCTTGTTTCTTTTGCTATAGGTCAGAGGTCATCTTCAAAACTGGAAATGGCCTAACAATGACTTCTTTCCTTCAAATACAGGTATTTATTATCTGAGCTTCAAGGATAAGAGGTTATTGGAGGGAAAGGCAATGGTCAGCATATCCAGTTCTCAATTACTGCTAATGACTGAACATGGTAAGAACTTATTTTTCCCTGTAGTTTGGCTACAACCCAAGATGGGGGAAAAAATACATCCTACTCCCACAAATTAAAAAAAAAAAACCCAAACAAGAAAACCTAGATGTTATATAATTAACAGTAATTCTTTAACAAACTCACCCAGATTGAACAATTACATACTTGGAACCAGATGCTCCTCTTGACCTCATTTTAAACCTTCATCTGAATCTCTTACTAAACCCTCAAATGAGCTATATTCACCACTTGGCAGTACCCAACATGACAGAATTGTTATGGCAAGGTTTCAAACAAACCCTCAGAATAGCACATTCTGCATTTACTATTACATCAGTTTCTCAAATCAGTGCCTTTTGCTTCTACAGGCAAAAGCACAACTCTGAACATTTAAAAAAAATGAAATAAATAATTTTTATAAAGATTTGTTTATATACTTAAAGCAGTAGGAAGAAAGACAACTAATAAGGAGGTTATAGTGTCAAAGCTTCCTTGTCACTAACACTACAATTCTCTTTCTTTTCATCTGCAGTAGGAATCTCCTGCTTGTCTGATGCAGCTGTAKGACTTGTAGAAGTAAGGTCCATTAACTTGCCCTCGATCTGAGTCCATGAGGACATTGATTCATGTACTGTAATGGTGTGTTCCTCCATCTGGCGCTGAAGGCTGTCCATTTCTTGCCTTTGAATGTAATGAGAACAAAAAAGCAAATATTAACAAGCAGAAAACTAACTGCTAAATGCAAGATCAAAAAATTACCCTTCTGATTCCTGATACCTACTCTAAGACTACCTAAGATATAGCTGTATACAAAAGAAAGAAACCTACAAGAACCTTAGGAGTTGTCTTCTTCAAGAGCAAAACAAATGCAGTATGCTTATTTTAAAAAAATTAAGTAGCTCTTTCTGGTTTTTTTCCGCTGTGTACAATTTAGGATAGACATTTTGTTTGGTTTATTGTAAAGTCTTCTTTCACCATGGTAATGGCTATATAAGCAAGCACTTAAAATGGCAGAACAGCCTACTGTCTAAATATAGTCCCAATAAAGAATTAATTTTACAAATCCTTTCTTCCTCATGGTGGCAGCTGGTTTCCTGAAAACATTTTTAAGATTCTTTAATATGGTTGAAAATAACAGGGCATACTTTAATTGCCGGAGACAGCTGTTCAGATTCTTYAAAGGCTCCTTGCTCACAGCTGTTGATGGTTTCAGCAGTTCTTCCAGCAAGGCAGCAGGCACTGGACAGTCAGGAATCTTGACTGGAGTCACAGGATTGGAAGAGTTATTCTCACCTTTCAATTCTTTCCTCTGGTTAAAGGTAAAAAAGAAGTCAGAAACTTAATTAAGTAATTTCATGCCATTTTTCCCAACTAGAAAGAGTCTGTCATCACACTACTGGTACACATCTGCATGACAGAGCAAGAATCACAGGTACATTCATGTCAGGTTATTTAAAAGCATTTAGCAGAGTATTTTCCTGTACTTTACAACATGTTCTTCCTATTTAAATACCTTCTTCATCTTGCCATGCTTCAGGTCCAACTTCAGTTGCTGGTTTTGCTGCAGCAGTGACTTCATGCTGTTCTTCAGTTCAGTCACTTTAGCCTGCAGCATAAACTTATCCTTCTGAGTCGCTGACAGGTCTTCCCTCACCATTTCCAACTCTGTCTTGATATTCTAAAGGGGAAGAGAACCAATATKATGTAGAGAGACAGTATAAAAATGCCAGACAACTGATGTTTTTATAACCTTTTCGGTTTGCAGAGGAAACCACAAAARGAAACAACACACAGCACTGGTGGTTGAAACAAATTTGCCATGGCAGAAATTCAGAGATCAAGTTAAAAGAAAGTCAGTACCCTATTTCAMTGGCCTAAAGGTTGAGGAAGTAAGTAGGTAATCAGAATTCCAATCCATCAGAATCTCCACTGGCWTGACTAAATACCTGCAAGACAACTTGTATCCCTTCTAACTCCTTGTGGCTGCGCTGTTCAGTCATGTCCAGCTGCTGCTTAAGTGTTTCAATTTCTCTTTCTTTTCGTTCTACTTCCCACTTCAGGTCTTCGACCTACCAGGGCAGAGGGAAAAAAAAAACCCTTTAGAATTATGTACAGGTGCAATCAGCCACAAAATCTGTTATGTCTGATGAACCCTTCCTTAAGAAAACCTAGAAAAACTTGATTAAAAATGCTGAATTAAAGACAAAGCCATATAATGCAATATAAATACGGATGAATACAGTAAGTGTTCACATTTTACCTCTTGGCTCACTAGAGGCTGTTCACTAAGCTTGTCATCCAGGTTTTTCTGCAGAACTTGGAGCTGAGATCTGGCTTCTGCCAGCTCTTGCTGAAACTGAGATACTTCCTGGGAATGTTTTTCATCCTCTACCCTGCACAGCAAGATTAACAGACAGAGCAGTCATTCAATCTGTTTTTAAAACAAGAATTCCACTGGGTTAGCCTTCTAACTATAAATGACATAACCACGCACAAAACCTGGTTAATTTTGTGGAATATAGTCAATAATCAAATTAATCCTCTAAGTAGTTCCTCAGTGATGTAAAAGAGAAGAATAATAGGATATATAGAGAGCACTAATCCTTACTAATAATGTGAAATAATAGAAGTCTGTGTTGAAAGTGGAAAAGAAGCAGAGAGTGAAGCCTAAAAAGTGTGCCTCAGGGCTAACTGAATTATAAAGAGAGAAAAAGGCAGCTATTTGCTTAGAGTCCAAACAAGCACCTCAAGGTCAGGCTCTGCTGGGGAATATTCAACATAAACCATGCCAAAGGGCCAAACCCCAAAATTCACTGATATATGGATTTTTCTGAGGATTTGTTGTAATTGCTGCTCTGTTTCAGACATTTACTTACTGCAGTTTGTCCACCTCAGCCTGCAGGGCCTGGACCAGCAGTTCTTTGGCGTGGAGCTCCTTCTTGATCTCACTGAGCTCAAGCATCGCTGCTCGGTGGTGTCGCCGGTTGTGRGCTGCATCTGCTTTGGCTGCTGCTTCCTAACAGGACAGAAAGATGGAGTTTTTACTTTATCACTGTAGGTGAATCACAAAGGGAGCTTAACACAGGACACAGCAAAGAAGTCACCAACTGATCTTTCAGCCACTAGCCATTGTGACAGAGATCCTGCAGGAAGTAGTATAGAGTATATACTACTAGAGTATATAACTAGTATAGTTATAAAGCACAGACTTAATTTCAAGATACTTTTAAAATACCTTTAAATCACTTTTTAAGTATATAAAAGATGAACCATTACCTGCTTCTGAAGGTCTTTAACTTTTAACTTTTCTTTCTCTAGGGAAGCTTGTAAAGCTTGAATAAGTTGTTGCATTTGCTGATCCTCTTCCTCTTTCCGCTTTAGGACTGCCTGAACCTGCAACACATCACAAAAACAAATGCACGTTTTGTGTGGGCTCACTGGAAGCAGAGGAAATATAAACACAAGCCAATGCAGGGATTGCAAAACAACTCTGCTGTTCACTGATCACTCTTTCCATACAATACCTTCAATGTTAAAAGTAGCTATGGTGAAATGGTAGCTCATTGSCTATGTCCCCATGAAYACATTAYTGTTGGCATAAAAATTATTTCTCTCAATGAACCCCTATGTAAAACAGTTCATATGTTCCAACTACCTACTTGCACTATTGCAAATACTGCAGTGCAATTTTAATAACCTTTTTTCAAAAGGAAACTCTGTTTATTGCTAAATCCCATTTCTCATCTCTTGTTCAGTCCCCCCACATTGCTACTGTTGTGCAACACATGGAGGACACTGAGCTGGAGAAAATGCATGAACTTTGTATTACATGAGCTAATGCCTTTCTTAAATGATTACATCAAGAGGTCAAATACCTGTAGATTGAGTTGTACCAAGTCTGCCTCTCTTTTTGCTAATGCTGTTTCGAGGATATTRTTGTGCTCCCGCAAAGCAGCGTTGGACTGACTGAGACCTGTAAGTTTTCCACGTTCATGTTCCAGTTCCAGGGCCAACTTCTTATTAATTTCTTCTAAACGTTTTATCTTCTTCCTGAAGCCTCTAGATTCTTGAAGCTATAACCAAAGAAAAACACAAATCAAACAAACCTAACCAAACAGCCTGAGACTATTATCACAAAACAATTGTGAGTTAAACTCATTAAGCATCTTGCCTTTTCAGAGTGGGATTTTTTTTTTCTCTTTTTAAATGAACATTAAGTTCACKTTGGTATTTTTTTCATGCTGAAAGACTAAAATGCTTGCTAGAAGAAGAATCCAGGAGTACTCTTCAGGTGCAGATCAAGAGTAGTTAATACATATAATTTTTTTGTGCCGCTCTACAATTGAACACCACTACCTGGCCCTCAGAATCACTGGTGATCTGTGACTCCCAGTACTTCTAGAAGCTAATGATTCATGCATCCTCACTGTCTCATGACCAGACACATCTGGTATCTAATACAGGAACCACTCCTCTCTCTCATCCTCTTCCCCTACACCAYGACAATGACTCATGAAACCACCAAGAACCAGCACAAGGCAACAAAATTTCTAACTATCACTGACATGATATTTCCTGTACAAAATTCTCATTTTCTCCACCGCTGGAATAAAATTTTGGTACTTAAATCTCTCCCTGTCTCCTAGGTACATTTTACTATCATGTGCCCATCCACCAAGCAAATTCAAGCAATCACCTCATCCTCAAGTTCCAGCACTTTCTCTCTGTATTCTTCAAGCTCCTGGCTGGTCAGTGAAATGACTTCTTGCAACTCTTTYTCCAGCATCAACTTACTGCTGCTCACAGCTCGCAGTTCTGTCTTCAGAGCTTGAATCTTCTCCTAAAGACAAAGGGATCACAGATGTGATAAGTGTATCACCCATCTTCAGGAGTCACTTCTGCTTTGGTTAGATAGCCTACTTCTCTAGCAAATATGACATGAGATGCTGGTGTTCAATTTAAAGGTCTTGCTCAGAGCTTTCCACCTTTGCATCCASCTACTGCTGTTGGTGAATGTTGGTACTTGATATCTTGCTCCATTGGTTCAAGAAATTGGAGCTTCCCTCAGTAAATTAATTTTTGTATCACAGGCATAACATATTATGAGCTATGGCCACCTTGAAAAGAAATTAGCTGTCAATGAGAAAAAAAAGCAGTAAGAGTTAGAATTTTGGAAAACCTCCAGATACTAACCCTTAAAAAAAAAAAAAAAGATTTAAAAAATCCCACCAAAAACCAAACAAAACCCAAACAAACAATAAAAATTAATCAGGAAATCTATCCTGCCAAATGATCTCTCTCAAAGGTAGTTAAAGAAGTTCTCAGTGCTCAGAACACTGACACCATGTTCTTATCTAGTTTTATCTTCCAAATATTATCATCATTTCAGGGTTTAATAGTATTTCAAGACTTAGAGCTCTGTCTTTGTACAATGTCAAGAGACACCTGCATACYTGAGCAATCTGGTCATTCCCTCCATCAGTAATTTGTGCTTTTAGTTTGCTCAGCTCAGCCTCAGCGGATTCCTTTGCAGTAAGAGATTCCTGCAGCTTCCGACTGAGAATGCTGACTGCATTCTCATAGGCTTTGTGTTTTGCCTTCATCTCTTTCTGAGCATTCGTCAGGTCTGACCCGAGACGYTTCATTTTCTGTTTCTGCTCTGTAATGGCCCTGGGGTGAAAGGAAAACACCAGGTAAAAACAGAAGCTGSTCAACAAATAGTACTAAAAGATTAATTTTTCACGTGGCCCAACAAAACCCAGCATTAGAAAGCCAAATATGAAAACCAAATGCTGTAGTTCTTTTGCTTATGCTAAAAGAACACTTACTTTTTTGCTTCWTCTTGCATTTGTTCTACTTGTTGTTTTAATGCCTGATTTGCCTCAGCAAGAGATTCCATTTGTTCCTTATCAAACTGCAAAGACTTAACAGGAAGGAAAAGAAGACGCATGAGAATAAGAACAAAAGCATGTTTGCTGTGTATGTTTGATTATAAAAGAAAAAGCATGGAATTTCAAAATTACTTCCATCTCTAAATATAAATTGCTCTCCATGTTCTCTTCCCCTGTTTAAGTCTTCCCTCTGAGGCCACCACCATTCCACATATCAACAGTGTTTGGATTCTGCTCTCAGAGTTCACTTTAGGACCAAGGAAACTGCTTCCACATCAATTTTCTGCCACTCCTGTAGTGCTTCTCCCMACTTACACAAGCTGTTAGTAAGTAGTCATGCATTTATAGAATTTTGGTTGGTATATGTGGAAATGTCTAGAGTATTTTAAATATCTAACCAAGAACATTAACTTGCAGGTGATCATTCTGTTTATTTCCAAAGTTAACAGAAATAGCAGTGTATCCTGGATGTAACGCTCTCCAAAGCTTTACACCTTCCATACCTGTAGGCGCATTTCCATATCATCTCGTTCTTTCTGCACTGACTGGAGGTGATTTTCTATTTCYACCATCTGCTGGTGAACCTGAGACACTTCCTTCTGTAGTTTTGAATGCTCAGATTCGAGTGACTGTTTCTCAACTTGGATTTTCAGCATTTCTCGTTTTATCTCCTTCAGTTCCGAGTCCAGCCGCTTCTTCGTAGCTTTCAGCTCACTGATCAGCTGGTCCTTGGAACTCGCATCTCTTCGGTAGGCTTCCACCATGACCTTGCACACAAGAGTTTCAAGAGGACCATGTCACTTCTGTTTCAGCTTTGCAAATTTATGACTCATTTACTAAAAACAATTTAATGATATTCTTTTAGTTTGAAAGAGGAGTGTGTCATACAAACCAGCATCAGCTTCTGTAATAWATTTGCTCTGATTCAAAGGTTTTCTGCAAGCTCAGATATCAAATAACAACAGTACATATTARTTCATGAAAAAAACCACCTCCGTGTTCTTGGCAGTAAGGGATACTCTTCTTCACATTCTTTATAGAATTGCAATAATTATCTGCTATTCTTAAAAAACAAATTGTAAAAACTTAACCATCCCATGCACACGATTAGTAACTTTTGCCATGAGAGGGGGGCTTAACTGTGATTGATAGATTAAACATGTTCCCAAACTTAAACATAACAASCTAAAACAAACTTTACATTAGGTTAATGAGCAGTCAAGCAGCAAATTAATGGTGCCACCTTATAAATAAGACAGATATATGTGCAACACTAATGACACATCAATTTCAAATTACTGTTTCAAAACTGTGTAAATTCAGAATAAAACTGGCAGTAAAGTACTTATTTACCATCYAATTACTGAAGCAACTATGATTTTTCAAAGTTGCAAGGAAATGACAACACTTGAAGATTTACACAAGTGCTCTTGCAAAAGCAAACCTAATCAACAAACCAAAGAGATTTTCTATGGTGGATCACTTGGCAAACTCCCCAAAGCCCTACCAAAGCATGAATTGGTTGGTGGATCAGCTTTTACATCAGTTACAGAGAGAAATTCAAGTGTAAGTTATACAGTTTCTGTATTTTAATGCCACAAAGTTCTGTGATATGAAAAATAGATTTAAAAATCCTCACAACCTCTTCGAAGTACATCCCCTTGACTGCAAAAAGAGGTGCATTCTTGGGCTTTATGTCTCAGAAATTGCTTTTGCTTACCTTCTGCTGCAGGAACTGTTCCTTCACTTTTTGGAGCTGTTTTTTGAGGGTGGCATTTTCTTGTTGCATATTTTCCACCTGTCAAGAGAGGGAAAAAGCAAACATTACTTTATGTGCCAAATGTCATTTTCTACCTGATTGCTTCAGTGAGCGTATACCTGTCTGATTTGTAACAACATCCTAATCTAACAAGGATMCTGTTTCTGACTAAGCATCTCAATGGTTAGATAATACAGCATTTTATACAGAAATGCATTTACCAGGTCATCACTCTGGAAGCRAAATTACTGCATAAGAAAGATATTRGCCSACAGTACCACAGAAAAGAGCACACTACAAAATWACTTCCCCAACTCTGACCTGTACTCCACATTATTTATTTTAAAACTGGTAAGATTTCAGAAAGATCATTACCTGGCTTGACTTGACTGCCATTTCTTGYTTCAGCTGCTCTAAGATTTGTGATGTTACTTCTGTATCTTCTCCAAGGCGTSCTGCTCCTTCATCAAGTTGCTCTTTACCTGCTTTTGCTGCCTGCAGAGCAACTTCCAACACAATCTTCTCATTCTGTAAATACTGGATTGTGTCATCCTTAGAAGTAGCATCACTCTGGAGCTCTTCTAACCTGGCCTTCAGTTCATCATACTGTGTCTGCAAGTCATCCAGGGACTGCTCTTTGGTGTGCAGTGTCTCTTGGGTTAGAGTCAATTGCTTCATTAGGTCAAGGTGTTCTTGCTGCAAGGATTCAAGCTGCAGATCCCTCTGATGCAGAGTCAACTTGACCTAAGAGGAAATATTTTAAGATTAAATTAATACAAAACAAAGGTTACCTTTGAAAATGCACTCTCATCAAAATCAAATATTTCAATTAATATTTTAGCCTCCAGGAGAAAATAGAAGGAGGTGAAAATATTTTTTAACTTTCCTAGGCCACTTCTTCTATTTGCTGTGTTAATTGTATCATCTTCTGCAGCTAACTTACAGGCTAAGCAGTGACCAGAATGACAAACCTAAAATATTAATAATATTCATCATATTTTCAAATTTTACTTGAAAAATATGTCCACAGTAAATTCAGGTAAATTCAGCATTATTAATAGTACCATAGCATTACATGGAATATAATACTGAGCTATCACATACTTCATCTCATTGCAGCCCTTGACATACTGCCTACATAATTTTACAAAATTACAGCAGGACTCCAGAGTGAAGTGCAGATTTATCATGCTGTAGCTGTAAATGCATATAACATCCTGACTGCCTAACAACTGTGAACATGGACCTATGGTTCTTGTCTATAACTTAGAATAATCACATACTGAGTTCACTAAAAAAAACAGCATCTGCAAGACAGTAGTTACAAAATTTTTAGAAGTGTGACTACTGACAGGGTTGAAAAAAGGGCTTTTTTACCTGAAACAGAGTGATTTAGACAAGCACTTCATTTTTGCAGCCATCTTTCAAGTTTTAAAACAAAGTTTAGAGTTCAGTATCCATTTACTATTACTTTTTCTGCCTAACAAGTATTTCCTTTGGAACCCTTGGGAAGWTGATTAATTAACCACAGTCTACCTGTTCCAATTCTTGCTCCAATGTTGCTGCAGAATCAGCCATTTTCTGAAGCTGTTCTTTCTCATCCTCAAACTCCTCYAGTTTTCTCTGCAAATCTTCTTCCACCATGGTTTTAGCCTCCTGGATCTGYATGAAGGCAGCTTCTTGATCTAACATGTCAGCCTGCATAGAAAAAGCATGGAATCAACTTCTACAGTTTCAATGAAGCACATTACTGATTTAGATTAACTTCCAATTAAGTTCTCTTGAAAAAGTTCATGAATGGGCAAAGGACAACATTTACATTTGCCTTCAAAGTTAAATTAAAAACAATACCAGAACTGAAAATGCAAGTATCACCTTCATATGGGAAATATATGGCCTTGTTCCCTCTTATYGTTCACAAAGCCATGCAAATTCATTTGCTCTGAAATATTTAGTGATTTTATAAAGCAGCATTTGAACCAATTCATAAGAATTCTATGTTACTTTGCCAGAACAGCCTTGAGTTTAAAAAACATAAATATACAATCTAGACAGAACATAACTCACGAAACCCATCTACAACCATACCTCAATATTTTGYAGCTGTGCTGCAATACGTTCCTTTTCTTTAATGGACCTGTGCTGGGTTTCAGTCAGCTGCTGAGACAGGGCCACATTCTCTAGTTTGAGATGTTCCAACATACCTGCTTGAGTCATTTGCCCAGCCTAAAGCAAGGAAACAAATCACTGATTAATAACAACAAAATTTAAGAGTTTCAGAAAAAATAAGAAAATCACATTGAAACTGTGTGTGCCTTAATTCTGCTTTCGTGGCACTGGGGCAGTCAGATCATTGTAGAAGGCCATTGGGCTGTCCTGTGGATAAAACTGACATAAAAAAGAACAGATTCTCAGCTGTCCCATATGCAAATAAATCACAATACCTGTATATTRGCCATCTCACTCTGCAGCCTGACACGGGCCTCCTGTGCCAGCACCAGCTGCTGCTGGTACCACTGCCTCACGTTCTGGAGAGATGTGATTTCTGTTTCAGATGCYTTCAGCTTGTTGGTCAGTGTGGTCCGTTCCAGCTGCACCTTCTGAAGCTGGGTCTGCAAGGAAGCCAACTGCTGCCGCAGATCATGAACTGGAAAAACAAAAATAAAAAAACTTGTGCTATTTTTATGCACACTTTTTCAAGTGTTATTGTTTTTGTCTTTTCTATTTTTCCTTTATTTTTGAACAAAAGCACATATGCCTAATTACATAAAGATTGGMTTTTCCTGAAAAAGAGCTAGAATCCAAAGTATCAGGTTATAAGCAGAATAAAATTAAACTAAATGAATCAGTTCTGTAARCATTCATAGTTCCTTAGAGGCAGAAAACATGAACTAACTAAACATCAGGAAGTAGGTGTCCTGGCACGTAGAGTCATCATTACAAATCAGTATTTGTACAATTTTCCAAAAAAACAATTMGGCCACTGTCGGGACTAAGTATTTATGCCTCCCTCTCCAGGCTGGCAGTGGCAGTTTGCAAACTGTGGCACTTCTGTGACACAAAATAAAAACCAATCATCTTGAATTCAGACCATTTTATTAATATATCAAATAAACAAAAATTAAAATTTCTTCTTCCTGGACTTCAGAATTAAGTTGAAATAAAATGGTTTATGGAACAACAAGTTTTAAAGACTGACATTTACATCATCCCACCTGTGCTGTCTCTGGTGAGAACATTCTTTTGCATATCTTCAACCTTCTGCAGGAGTCTCTGGTATTGCTCCTCAGCTAATTGCAAATCATTGTTTGAAGAAGCCAAACTGGCATTCTTTGCTTCCAAGGCATTTTGCAGGTCAGCCATTGCTCGTTCCAGATCCCAACAAGACTGCTTTAATGTGGCCACTTCTGAGCTTAGAGATTCCTGCTTCTGCTGGCTGTTTTGGCTGTGCTCCATCTGTGCCTGAAGCTTCATGTTCAAAGCTGCAAGCTGGGCTTGTAGCTCAGTCTTCTCTTTGAGAGCCTAAATGGGCACAGAAAATCAAAATACAGAAGTCTTAAAAGAAAATGCATTAATGGCTGACTAAAAAAGATGTCCAGCAAAATGGCTTTGATAAGGCAAAGACCACTTGCTTGTAAAAAAATTATTTTTAAAGCAACATCTCATCTATCAGGTATTTCAAATAGTCAAAGAAATACAGAGGAAAGAATATACAATGTATATGGTATGTCAGCAACCACGTCAGGCTGGGTTTARTWTMGGATTAGTTTTATWTCTCATTATTCTACTCTGATTTTATGATAATACATTAAACTAATTTCCCCAAGTTGAATGTCTCTTGCCTATGATGGTAACTGGTGAGCGATCTCTCTGTYTTTATCTCAACCCATRAGCCTTTCATTGTTATTTCTTCYCTTCCCTGTCCTGCTGGGGAGGAGAGTGACAGAGCAGCTTTAGTGGACACCTGGCAYTCAGCCAGGGTCAGCYCACCATGGCATCCWTGTAAAGTACCTTATTCAACAATGTTTTTACAACACAATCCCATAGGTAATGAGCAAGAGGCTCTTGAAATTTAATTAAAGCATTAATATGATTTGCTGAATATACGTTTTCAAATTTATTTTCTACCTGATTAGCTTCTTGTGAGAGTGCTTCTAGTTGCCCTTCAAGTCTCATCTTCTCCTTCATAACCTGCAGCATCTCATCATGAGTTCCTGCGATAGAGCTTTCCATAGAAACACTGGAGACAGAGACACATACACAGTTCCAGGCTTAGAATACAACACTCAGCTAGTTGAAGTGACACTGAAGTTAAGAGRTACTCAGACTGTAGGACATTTTTTCTGGCTTTATGATATATCCAGAACACAGTGTAACAACCTCTRCTAAAAAGAGAATTATATTCATGCTAAGGTTTTATACTTTAGTTTCCTGTGCTTGCAGTAGAATCTAGTGAGGCACCATATATATGCTAGAAGTGCAATGGCTGACTTCATCATATTCTMCAGATCCCATTTTAAGCAGACCACTGGACATGATGGGATCACAAAATCTCCACAATTATTGTTCATAACTRTCTGCTTTAAGGTGCTTGAGAAATACCAACAGCTACTGCAAAAGAAGAACAGATATTTGGCATAAGGGATTCCTTATGCTGACTCGTTGCTGTACAGCCAAGGCATCTACAGAAAGAGATCTTCTCTYATTACCATAAGAAATAAATCTAAGCCAGAATAATCATCAACAACTGATTGTACACCTCAGCATCTCTGGGCATGATGCTTTATTCCAACGAAGTGCTGGGGGGGGGAAGTGATTTCAAAAGCAGRACATATAAAACATGCATCTGCAGACAACTGATAAAAGCCATGCATTGTTAAGGGCTTCACCAGTCATGMATTTGCTTTCTGAATCAGTTTAATACCTGTCATAGATATATAAGCTTGGGAGACCAAATCTCATTCTTAAAGGCCTGAAGAGGTTATGAGTATCTAGGACAAGRCTCTTCACATTTCTTAACTATGTGAGGTGTGAAAGGTACATGCATAGATTAGGAAAACAACAATAATAAACATCACTAAGGCAGTCAAGTTTACTCTTTCAGACTTTACAGACCAAGGCTCATGAGTGGTTCAGTGAATCAAGTCCTTCYATACAGACAGAAGCAAATGCTCACAGTACATTTAATACAGTCAGTGGCAAAAAATATATTTCTCCAAAGATACACTCAGTAAAATAGGTGAAGTGACCTTTCATATTCTTTTAGAATTTGTAAGCTAATAACGGACTTAATCACGGTGTAAGTTAAAACTGGATCAAAAGTTAGTAGGAGGTAAAAGTAATAGCCTGCCTATTCCAAGACAGTGTAATTAACTAACACTGTGATCATTCTTACCTGCTAGAAATACTGTCTCTCCTGCTCCGTACCTCTCCATTAACTTCTTGCTCTTGGGCCTGATGCTCCACAGCCGCCGCCTGCAGCACCTCACTGATGGAGGGAAATTGCCCCATTGCTTCAGGTTGTATCTTCTGGCCGTTTATTGTATATGGTGTATCCTGTTTGCCTTCTGCATTCTGTAAACTGCCATACAGCCCTTTCCCTGACACACTGCTGTATGTAGAGCTGTCGCTCTCATTTCCATCCAGCCTCATTCCCACTTCACTCCCATCAATCTCTGAAATGCTATCTCCTGCTAAGGAGGAATTCTCTATTCGATCATCCATGTCAGAGGGCAGACTAATCTCTGAAACAACTGATGTTGGACCRCTTCTGCTCTGTGTCAGAGCTGCCCCAGATAAATCGGTAGCCACACAATTCCCAGTAGCATTCTGAGCATCTGAATCTTCAGTTCTGTAGTCAGCCAAGGACCGGATCTTGCTGGCCTTAGATTTTGAGCTTTTTCTCTCTTTTGAGGATGCTGGGAGTCCCAAGCTACCCAGTTTTGGCCCCCTGGGGACGCTGGTCCGCAAAAAGGAGTATTCTTTTGTCATTGCTACAGTGCTGGCTCTTGGCAGGATTTCTGGATTTAACATCAGCTCAGGGTCCAGGGTGCTGGAGGGACGGTTTTTGGATGTAGACTGACTTGACTAAAAGAAGCAAAGAGTCCACAATAAACTCCAGAATGTTAACTTCAGAGTTAACATCGAAGACTTATTTTGGTGTAACTCAAGATATAAAGCACTACACATATATATTAAATACACATCCTTTAAATTAAATACACACTGATATTAAATACACATCCTTTCATAAACAGGGTGAATTATATCAGCAATCAACCCTATCAAGGTTCATGATATACACGTTGAAAATGTTCATGTGAGACTCCAAAAGGTAACTGAAAAATATAAGCTAAATGGAACATTTAGGTCACTTTAAGTTTTGTCTTTGGTTTTATCCCCCCTACTTTAAGTAGCACAAAACAGTACAATAGTGATGAGGTAACAGAAACAAATTGTGCTTGTCCAGAAGAAAAAAAATGCTTTTTCACATTTGAGAAAACTACTGAATGTCTCAATTCAGGGCACAGAAATGGTAAAGTTTTCAAACTTCTCAACAAAACACCATCTTGAAGATGTGGAGTATGGTACTTACTCTTTCTTGATGCCTCTTCACTCGGTATTGTTTGAGCTGCTCTTCCAGACGCCTTCTTGCCTGAAGTCTGATTTGTTCTTCATTCTCCAATGGGAGTGAAGACTCCACTGAGCCTGTGAGTGAGAGATACCTCCACAGTCAAACAGAAAACTCCAACACAGGCAAATGGAATGCAAAAGGTAAAAGCCCCTTCTACCATCAGCAACATGCTTCATGCTTAAGCAAGGAACAAAAGGAAAGCCCACTGACATGCACCTCAAATGACCCTCTTCAAATATATCCTTGTGTAAGCTCTGATAAAGCCTGTGGACTTCCACTGCTCAGTTTGTGAATGCTATAGTTCCTACAMATGTTTATGACAAGAGATTATTCACCAAGAAAAAAAAAAATATTGCTGCCATTTAATCTCACCTGTACTGCATTTCTGACAGCACTAAAATTACAAAACTAAGCAAGACCTACACAGTCCATTCATTCCGTACGTTAGGGAAAAATGCTCCCTTGATACATTTTCTTACCTTTTATTAACTCACATTAAGCCTTTCCTGTAGTAAGGCTTTTTAAAAACAGTTTCAGAAAACTCCCGTAGCATTAGATACCTTAATATAAAGGCTTTCCCTTCTCCCCACTTCCTTGCTCTTCTCTCCCTTCCTTTATTACTAAGCTACAATGGTTCTGCTGTTCTTTTTTTTTTTATGTCATCTGTTACTCCTAATAATCATGAAGATTAGAATAGATTCAGCCCCAGAAAGCATGAATTCCCCTCCAGYGGAGAGCCAGTTTTAAATAGTAAGGCACATGCCTTAGCTGCAGCAGACGTGGTTTACTGAAAGAAAATGARTTGTATTTTAAATAAAAGTTTACTGCAAAAATGAAGTTTAGTTCAAGCTTAAATGATGTTATAGGAGTCCAGAGCCAGGCTCAGAGTAAAAAGCTTTATGCAGCAAGAGAAAGCAGGGGCACCACCATAAACAGATGCTTACACAATTCAGTTTCTTGCATGGGAAGACTTAGTTTGAGAGACTGCAAAGCTTCTTTTCTAAGAGCTATGCCCTCAGCACTAGTTCCCTGAGACTTCCTTAGGCTGTCATGGAAACCAGTCACACCTGGGGATGATTCCTCCCCCTGCTCACTGCTGGTGGGATCAAAAGATACAGGAGAGTCAGAGCAGAACGACTGTGGCCCATTCTGGCAGGCGTCCACTTTGYTGTTTATCTCCAGACTTCCCTCTTCATTTGGCACTTCATTGATATTATTACTGGTAGCTGGAAAAGAAAGTTTTACTGAGCTACAGTTTAAGCCACTCCATTTATCTTCCCATTTCCACCCAAGTACAATGCCAGCCCTATTGCCTTTATATTGTACAAAYATGGAAATTGCTACTGACAGCAACTGGCAAGAGAAACTTCCTAGAGGGTTTTTGATTCTTTACTTTAAAAGACCAGAACAAGCACCTTTCATTTGCTTTACTACGTTGCCTTCAAGCAATAATATTCATATAAAATACCTTCAAAACTTCACACAGGTTTTTAAAATCTTGTTAGGCATAGAAGCATGAAACATTGAGTGTAAGAAACTCTGAGGGGCAACCTACTACAAGTAAGGCTCAGGCCTGTGCTGAATGATTCAGCTCTTTGCTATGCTGCTGAGCACTGAGAAGAAAGCATCCACCATCCCAGTTTCCAGCCTGGCCCAAGCAGTTTGTCAATTTTAAACTGAATTTACATTTTTTCAAATAGGACATCTTCATCAAAAGTACAGTAGCAAAGCTAACATGTATCAAAATAATAAACCTACCAATTAAAACGCAAATCAAGAACACTTCAACACCAATTTTACCCCTACTTAGTAGTATTAGATTTTTCTTTTCCATCAAGAAAAAATGCATATTCAAAACCAGTTAAACATTTCACAGGTTTATACTGCGGCTTTCTCACACATTTGTATTTCACTTGGCTGGGAACTAACATTTATGAACTTGAGTTGCAAAAAAAAACTGTATCTAACTTTAAATTAATTACTACAGATCTCAAATGAGGAGAGCACTGAAATAGCCACTGCCTTTCTGTTCATTCCCACACCACGTTATCACTGAAGTAACTGGAACTCACTGGAATAATATGGAAGACTTCATTATTTTTTCCTAAAGATGGTGGAAAATATTTGATATTTATRATCACAAAGTATTTGCAAGTGCAAAAATCAAGTTCCCCACCTCTGCCACCACAATGTGAACCAGCACAGAGGAAACTAAACGAAGGAACTGAATTTGGGTAAAAATGGAAAGCTTTCAGTCTTAAGTTGCCAAAAACAACTCATAAGATTTGAATCAAAATACTCTTGAGTATCTTATTTGTCATACAGACAACACTTTCAGGCCATTGTAGCCTTAATCACTTCTCTGATTTAGAACCACAAAAACAGTTGCAGGCATGATGGAAGGGGTAAGTTCAACAAGGATGTAAAAGAGGACAGAGGACAAGACTGCTTTTTAATGCCTAACATTTTAAAACTAGAATACTGGCAAAAATTCATTTAAAATAGATGTCAGTGCTAAGATTAGCCCCAAGAAACCAAAAATAAGAAGATAGCTCATATATTCCAAAATACTGTTTCTGCCTATCTCGGAAACTGCAGCTATTACTACATCAGGTTTGTAATTTATTCACATTTTTTCCCCACAACAGTGAGTAGTACACACATACAAAAGGGATGTTKGAGAAAAATTGTGGAGGAATGTTTTCCTGACAACTTCCGGAGACCAGGAGACACTCAGAACCTACGCACTCCTTGAACTAAAGTAACTGAATTGCAGTAGTGGCAATACAGCTGCATCTTTTCAGAACAATGGGCAAGGAGATGCAATTGGAATAAAAACAGTAGAAAGACACATTATCTATTTGTAAGCCACAACTCGATTGTCCAACACAGGCAACAACAGGAACRTGTGATCTCCAGCTTCATAAAAGATGAATGAATCATCATCTAACTACACTCTGTCTGATAACGGGCAGCAGAAGAAAAGCAAAGGAAGTGTCAGGCCTCCTGTCTCCTGCCTGTGACAAGGTGACACACTGTGGTATGAGAAAGTCCCAACCTCATCACGTCACCTCCTTTTACACAAGGAACTGCTGTGCTTTTGTGTATCTACGCAGCCACAGTACACACAGAGTACACACCCCTCCACCCAGCCACCCCCATATCCTCATACACCAACATATCCTCAGACTCCTGCCAGGGAAACATGGAGATTTCAATTCAGTGCAGGGAAAATACTTCCACAATGAAAGCAGTTAAATACTGGAATGGGCAGGGAGGCTGCTGAACCTCCCTCTACACAGACTTCTAGAATTTAACAGGACAAGGCCCTCAGCAACCTGATCTTGCTGCAGAACTAGGTGTGCTCTGTGCAGCAGGTTGGACTGGATAACTCACAGAGCTCCCTTCCAGCTTAACTTTGATTCTATAATCTCCTCAGATAGTGGACTCTAAACAGTTTCTCATAAACAGCTGCATAATTATTTTATTATAGAGCTTGTCTACATATCAAAGTTACTTTGAGATAAATTGGAGAGTATGTGCCAGCATCTCTCTTCYATAAAGGGAAGCTTAGGCAGGCATTCTGGGTTTTTCCTAAACAATTTAATTTTATTAGGAAGATTTTCTCTGACAGAATAAAGTATTCCAGTCACAAGTTTACTCTGGAACAGTCATTTCAGAACTGCTCGTTGTAGAGAGTTTCAGGTGTACATTCTTGGAAACATTATCTGAAGACAGACTAACACCAAATACTCACCTAGCAGCTGATAATATTTAAGTTAGTATTTTGGTTTTGCTTTCAAAAGAAGTTCTAYAGAAAAAAAAAAMMCAAAACAAAACCAGTTTTACATACACACAGAGCTATAGACTTCACCAAACTTGCTTAAAACTGCTAAACAAGAAATTCCTGACCTCAAGGAAGTATGTCCTTCTGCATCCCCTGAACAATAAAACAGATGATTATATAAAGGCCTGGATAAGACCGGGAAATTATTTGGTGCATATTAAATAACTTACTATTAATTTCATCTGTCGTAACTAGCTGTGACTTGGCTTTACAATCCAAGAGTTCTTTGGAGCTGCTGGGAGCCCCATTACTGTTTCTGTTCTCCAAGTGAACATCCTGCTGGACAGATGAGGAGTCCATGATAAAAATGATCCAGATCCCTGGAAAGCTTTTCTTCKCAACGATTTGCCACCAAGTGAACTACCAAGTCCTGTTTCTCTCCATCAGCAAGAACAGCACCAAGATGTGACACAGGAGGAGTTCTGAGCTGTAGAACTATCGGTGAGCAGCAGGCAGCTGCTGGCTCCACATCAAGGAAACAGCTCRCAGCCAAAATCGGAACCACCAAGGAGCTGCATGCTCTAGAAACAAAATGTAGTGAGTTTAYAAACGTTTACCARAGTTCTGGAAATAAGAGTTAAAWATAAAATAGCGCCCACAGACAGAACCAATACATGGGGTAACAACAGAGACAGTTAAATACAACCARGTATCCAGCTTTGGGAATAAAAAGTGATCTCTTTATGTTCACTTTTTTTAGTAGCATTGAGATACTGCAGAATGATGCAACAGATAATATTGAACAAGACAGCTGATTTAAAATCACTGTCCCTTATAACAGAAAGGTCTCTTTGGCCTCTGCTTTAAGAACCGAGCCACTATTCAGAGTAGCGCCGTATTCTGTAAATTATGATATATATGTATATATATACAGAAGCATACCACAGATTTCATTTCATGGGAATGAGTTTCAAGATCTTTTGTTAAAATGAAGCACAGAATTCAGATTTAGGGTTTTTTTTAAATGAAATTACATCATTACTGTTTACTTGTCTGCAGAATAACAAGTATGAATCACTGCACAGAAGCTGAACTACTTATTTCAGCACAAGCTGGCAGTCAGAAAACGGCCTAGACTGCAGCTCAACATTGCCTTCTCCTATGACCAGTYAAGAGATGGATTTCCAAACACAGTTTATGGAACTTGCAAATGATTCTCCAGGTATTAAGATCCAACCTCTGGATCCAGSCACCTAATACAATGTGACAGAAATTGTTGTATACAGTCACTTCAAGTAATTAAATTTTGTTCTAAATAGTTACTGACAGATTAATTCAGATTACAAAATCTTGGTGTTCTTATTTACTTAAAAAAACACAAGAAATCCCCAGTTAATAAAAAAAAAAAGGGGAATGTCAAATCAGGAATATTTTGACTGCATTTTTAATGAACACAAACATTTTGAACAACATTCCTCCCATATCTCCAGAGTACTTGTGTAACTGCTACTGTGCCACACTGCTCTGGTCACCCAGCAGCACCACCACCATCACCAAAATGTTASTGGAGCTGCAAACAGCTCAGGGCACACAGGAGAACACAGTTATGTAGGTGACTCTTACAGAGGTGAGCTGCGAAGGAGCCAGAAACCTGGAGCACCTTTCTAAATGCCAACCTTGACCAAACAGAAAGATAAGCACCACCACTGTGATTTGCTACTAATTTTTAAAGATWTTTCAGTATAATAAAGCTTACGATGAAATTTCCAGAACTGCCACCATACAGCAAACAGGTGCCGCATGGTAGGCTACCAAGAATTACAGACAAAAGGCAAGCAAGATGTTGGCTCTTTACTACACCTTGGCAAAATCCAGCCAACACGAGATGGTCTGTTTTCCTTGTCACAAAACACATTTAAATTATCTAGTTGATGAAGAACGACTTTCTCCTATACAACCCATTGTCAATATCAAACGGTAGAATATTCTGGCCTCAGAGCCCTTTCACATCCCTGTGTTGCGCACAAGCAGACCCACACATAAAGATATGGGCACGCCACGGGAACGCAGCAATAACCCCACAGGGAAAGAGCTGTACGAAAACCACCGATTTTGCTTAAAACAGCAATAATCAGGAGGCCAAGGGGTCCCGGTCACAGACTGGGAAAGGGCCGGCAGCCCCGGGCGCGGGGTCCCTGGGCCGGGCACGTCCCTGGGCGCCGGCAGAGGCAGCGGGAGGCCCGGGGCCGCAGCCCTCAGAGCGACCCGGGCCGGCG